ATGACCCAAGTAAGGCTCTGGATCGACTTTTGTAATCCCTGTTCTCACCGCTGCCGCGGATTCTGCCCTTCTGCCCTATCAACCCACATCTCAAATGGGCAGCATGGAGATCTACGTACCCTGAGTGAAAAGCGCGGCTGTGCGCGCAAGTGTGTATGTATATAGAATAAGAAGCCCCCAAAGCATTACCGATTCCTGCTGTCCCCATCTCTATGACCTCGGACTATGCTAGACTACTTAACTCTCCCGCTCTACCCTCCCATCTTAGCATCGTGGTTACTGGCTGCTTAGAGCAATATCTATAATAGACTCTGTTCATACCCGTGCTTGTCGTGTTCGACACGAGGATCCCTCCCAAGCCATCGCCATCGCCATCGTCATCCATAGCCTCACCGTGTGAGGTCGTATGTTAGAAGAGCTATAGGATTGGAAGAAGAAGGCATCACGAATTTGTGTGGCGCGACAACTCACCTCGACCATTGCCCAAGCTTTGCGACTTATATAAATCTCATTACTCCACCGGCCGTCTTAGTGACACTCCTTTTGAACGACACACTACCAGCTCACCAAGTCTATACTCGGTTCCATATAGATCTTGTCGGGTCTTGATATGGTGTAATTCCAGACGAATGTGAGCTTTTATTTCACTGCACAAACTGTAGTCATATCCTGTGTCCCGACCGAGACACTGACGCGAGGGAGACGGTTAGCGTGAGCATACCGGCCGGGATTTCCTCTTACAATTCACCACAAGTCTGTCCCCGGAATCGCCGACAACGTAAAATTATTATAATGGCCATGGTTGGCGACCAAGCTTACGATATGTTCCCTCGACACGAGCATGATTTCAGGCTTTACCCCGAAGCCCACCCCCAGACGGGCTACACTTCGCCGACGCTGGAGATGCACATGAGCCCAGGCGCTTTTAACATTCCCCGGAGCGTCCAGGAAGACTACCGTCCAGTTTCGGGATACGAAGCCGGCTCCATGTACCCGGAAACGCACCTCATGTACAGTAATAACCACAACAGAGCTTCCCCCAGCATGTTCCCAGACGATTACGAAATGCCAGTTCCAGCCTCAAGCCTCTCAACTGCCTCGGCTCCCTCAGAAACGGCGTCTTCAACCGTCGGGTCGCCTAACTCAAATCACGGCCAATTAGCTTTCTTCCCCGAGTACCAGCAGGGTGGTCTCGGCGTGAACCCGGGGATTGTCGACTCCAGCAACTACTTCACAGGAACAGAATACTCTACCTATCCAGGTATGGATGAATTCAACATGGCTTTTGTTGACAATAAGGCTATTGGTGAGTTGGCGCGGGTCTCATTTTTAATGGTTTCTCATTTGTCCCCAACCGTAGGGCTTTCTCAGCGTTGTATGTGAATTGAGCTTAGGAGGTAGTGTTGGTTTCGTCAGGCGCCGTCGTTTCGGAGTCGAATATAGAGAGGGAGATGGATATGTTGATTTCTTTTGACTGAATATTGAATTACACAACACACACTTACTATGACACTTACTATGAAGACCACGATGCGCTGACCAAGAAGCCTATTCTACAGATCCTTCACTAATACGCGGAACGATGGCCCCACCGATGCAGGGGTACGACAATTTCTCCCCTCAAAACCCTTATCCTAACTCTCCTGCTCTCTCTGGTACTGCTTCACCTGCGCCAGCCATGCGCAACGGCAGCCAATCTCCCTATATGCACGCCTTTCAGCAATACAGCCCTTTCCAAGCACCTCCTGCTGCGCCGGCCAGGCGACAGTCTCTATCATCTTACCAATCGCACGGGTCGCACGAGTACGCGTACAACAGCGACGAATCGGAGAAGAAGCAAAGATGCCCGCACCCAGACTGTGGGAAGGTCTTTAAAGACCTTAAGGCGCACATGTTAACCCACCAGAATGAGAGGCCAGAGAAGTGCCCCATTCAAACGTGCGACTACCACGTCAAGGGTTTCGCGCGGAAGTATGACAAGAACCGACATACTTTGACTCACTACAAGGGTACCATGGTATGCGGATTTTGCCCCGGGTCAGGCTCGGCCGCCGAGAAGTCCTTCAACCGGGCTGATGTCTTCAAGCGGCATCTGACCGCCGTACATGGCGTCGAGCAGACTGCCCCTAACAGCAGAAAGAAGGCGGCAACCTCGGTGAACAGCGGCAAGAAATTAACTGGCTATGCGCCAGATGCCACAGGCAAGTGCTCGACGTGCTCGGCCACGTTTGAGAACGCCCAGGACTTCTATGAACATTTGGACGACTGTGTCTTGCGCATCGTCCAACAAGAAGATCCCGCAGAGGCTATCAACGCAAAGCGGTTAGCCGAGGTAGAACATGACGAGGAGGTTCACCAGACGCTTGAGAAAAACCAACTGCCTCTCACCACACAAAGTGTCCCCAACTCCGATGATGAAGAGGATGAGGATATGGCTGAAGATGACGACGCCGGGGATGATGAACACAAGCCGAGGAAGTTGACCTCTCCTACAACGAGGAAGAAGGGGAACCCGCCCAACGGTGTTCAAAAGTCAAGGGGCATGACACATTCGCGAGGCGGCGTGCAGCTATCGGGCAAGAGCAAGAGCCGCAAGAACCGACGCGAATACCCATCTTCGTGGGGCTTTGACAAGGGCCAGATGACCATGAAGAAGCGGGTCATGACGGTATTCGACGGCCCCCGCCGACTAGCTAAAGACGACATGATGCTTTCGACAGAGCACGAGATCCGCCTAAGGCTTTCCGACGAAAAGTCGTACGTAACAGACCTCGACGTCCAGACGCTGAAGCGAGCCAACGCCTTCCTCAACGCCACAGACGAGGAGAAGGGAATATGGATTTCGGATGATCCTACCGAGGACGACATGAAGCGCATGGAGTATAGCCATTAGAGCTAGTCGCGCCCGTATATATCACATCCACCTACATCCCTAATCACTACTGTATCAATATACATAGCATCATGACGACCGAGACGAAGATTGGGATAAGCATGATTGGCGCAAGGTCTGTTGTACGTTGGGGATACTTAATGGCATACAAAAACCTATTAGGGGGAGGCTTCATCCTCCGCCGGGGAGAAAGTTTATCACTGGCCAACTATAGAAAGGGGAGAAGCAGAAATGTCTCATGAAAGGAGTATATCTTCCCGACAGTCGCTCAGCGGCTGCTAAAAATGTTTTATTATCTTTTGATACATTATGTACCTAGTTTTGATGGTCTGTACTGATACCCTATCTATTTCTATCACGACAGCGCTGAGGAGGCCGAACAAAGAGTCGGCTTCGATCTTGAATAAAGAATCACTTCGCTTTCGCACTACTTATCTTGACTATATTCTTAGACTTGTATGAACGTGAACGTGAGAGTGTGTATAACTTGGATTAATACGTCGTCATGTCAATATTGATACTAGACATGACACAATAACCAATAACCAATAACTACACGCTACTCAAGATTTCCCACTTACACGACTTACACGACTTACACGACTTACACGACTTACACGGTTTGGCTACGGTATACATGATCCAATCCCTACGTAGGTATACTTCAATATATTAACCACGCAAATCCCGACGCATCTTTTCAAAACCCAAATCCCATCTTGTCCATGCGAGCAATATAAACCAAATCCAGTGAATGCCTGTTTAGCTCATCTGATTGGAAAACTAAGGCAACGGCATCTAATAACGAGGGTTCCCGGATGAATCCTCCTATTGCCTGAAATCGCAGGAGGGTTGGTACAATAAGTGAATATTTGCAGCTGAAACGGAACATGTCATTTCCCATAAGGTTGCGGTTGCAGCCATGGCGGCCGGCAGCGAGATGAACGGATAGCCAATACCACGAACCATACCCGTCCACCTCCATCATCTCCATCATCTCCATCGTCGCAATTGGACGAGGAACGGCTGCTGTCATGCTGACTAGTAGGTATCATTGCCGTTATCGATGTCAATGAATGTCAGTATCAGTATAGTATAGTATATACACCTACGATACATCACACACCCATTAGACTTGACAACCCCCGGATGCAACACAAGCGCGGCCCCGGTAGAGGCCTCCGCGGATTAGGCCGTGGCTTTTGATGCCCGTTTCGTGCATTTGCGCACCTGAGGCGCAGCTCCCGCATACCACGTGTATTGCCGGGGTATATGTAAGAGAAAAAGGGTATAAAATTAACGTTAGCCTACTGTACCCTTCCGTACTGGCTGCCTGAATCAGGAAGGTTGGGGTCTTTTTACAAGCGGTGTAGGGGCGTAGCTTTTGCTTATTTGCAGCAGGGCAATGGCTGCTGGACGCTGGAAAAGCATAACGTAACTGCACATTTGTTTAGCAGCGGGTATCGCATTATACCCACCCACCTACCTACCCACCTACCTAAGGTACCTAAGGTAAGCAACGGTAAGGCTAGAAACAAGCGCTACACGAACCGAGCCGGATAGATAAGCTCTTTCCCCACTATGTACAAGTTCCCAATTGTGCTCCGTAAAAAATTCAATCCAAAACACGACCACGGCCACGGCCCCATCAATCCAACATCATCATCGGGCATCATATCACCACTCTCGATACACAGGTACGGAATACACTCACTGTATGTAAATGCCACCGGCAGCGCCGTAGACGCACATATAGGTACCCACGCAGATGGGCGTTGATGAGCGCATATTTCTCTGCATTCTCGTGGCCGTGGCCGTGGCCATGGCCGTGGGCTCTTCTAGACGCCATACACAAATTACGGTAATAGCGAGGTTAATGTGATGTCATTTCAACACTGTAACACTGCATACCATACATTGGTATTGTGTCAATACATCCCAATATCCATCTTGTTGCTTTTTTCTTATTTTCCCTTCTCCGTATATTATATATTATATCCATGTACATATGTGCATACGTGCATTAGGTACCTCACGCCAGTGTAGGTATGATACACATTTGCTTGTTCCTCTGTTCTATTTTAATATCGCGGGGGTGTGGCGCACACACCCCGTACAGCATTAAATACATGCACTAAACGGTGTCACTTTCCGCCCGGCAAGATTCGCAACGGAATAGCTCCGTCTCTCCCTAGTAAGTATCTAGGTACCTAACCTTATCAGAGAGATAACCATGCTGCCATGTACTTAGTGTACTTACCTTAGGTACCGGGGGTGGACAGACCCAAAACACCAGCATTCTCGGTTTCGCTTCTGCGCCCAACTCTTGATCACACGCGCTTGGGTGCAGAGAACAAAAGGGAAAAAAAGTTCTCTAGCACCCCAGCACAAAATCACCCCCTGCACTTGAGCCTCAAGTTACTCGGCCGAGCAGGATGGCCCTCACGAGCCGCATCTCCCTTCACGGTCCTCCATCTGAAGACCCCGAGGACTACCTCAGTTCTTCCTTGGGCATCATCTTCCCGGATGACGTGACGAACCAGCACGGCGACGCGGAGCACTCGCTACTCTACACGTCGCCGCATCTACCCAAGCCCCTGCACATCGCCCTCGCGGACCCGGACCGGGAGGCCGATCGCAAGCTCTTTAGCCACTACCTGTGGAACGCGAGTCTGCTGCTTGCCGAGCTCGTTGAGGCCGGCACCCTTGGCTTGCCCCTCGACGTCGGTTTGCGCCGGCTCCAGCCCGCCGCCTTCGATGTCGCTACCCTTGAGACACTTGAGCTCGGCGCCGGTACCGCGCTGCCTAGCCTAATGGCTGCTCTGCTCGGGGCTAAGGGCGTGGTCGTAACGGATTACCCCTCCGAAACTGTCTTAGATACTCTGCGTAAGAACGTCGTGGCTAATGCCAAGACCGAGAACTCGCCCGGCAGCTCCCTTGCACCGCTGACAGTCGAGGGTCATTCATGGGGTGAGTTGGATACGCCTTTCGCAGCAGAACATCGGGGTCGGTTCGACCGTGTCTTCGTATGCGACTGCTTGTGGATGCCATGGCAGCACGCCAACCTGCACAAGTCCATTGCATGGTTCCTCAAAGACTCCCCGGACGCCAGAGCCTGGGTTGTTGCTGGGTTTCATACGGGGCGCGCCAAGATGCGCGGTTTCTTCGAGGACGACGCCCTTGCGGCTGTCGGACTTGAGGTTGAGAGTATATGGGAGCGCGACTGCGACGGCGTTGAGCGCGAGTGGGTTTGGGACCGCGGCCAAGAGGACATCAGTATACGGAAGCGGTGGCTAGTCGTCGGTGTACTGCGGCGGAGGGCGTCGACGGTTGAAGGGTAAAATATTTCGGACGTCCACTAGGCTCTAGAACCTAGGTCCCTAAGTCGTGAGCTCTTGGTTATTGGCTCAGGGGCTCTATACTCTAGATCTCCGGGATTCACACGGATATACGGTAAGGTGATGCTGTCCGTCGTTCACCTGGCTAACGCATAAGGAATTGCGACCATGTGACTATAAGCCCGGTCTATGTATAGCAATGGACATGGAACTAGGATCTCCCGGGCGGTACTAAGCTAGCTATTGAGTAGCAAGACGATCTAGGACCTTGCTCTATCATAGCTACCTACCTACCTAGCTATATCAAACACAAAAGACGCGACTTTTATAATCTAGAAATTACTTGAGATAGATGCCTACCAAGAAAGAATGTAAGTAGCCTACGCAAGTTTATTATTTGTAGCAAAGACCCCAATCATATACCTATTCCTCTAAATACTAGAACACATTTAAAATTGTTCGATGGATGAGCTCCGGCTCTATTTCTCGAGTCGAACCAGTCATCGCAGGTTTATGATCAACCAGAAGCCACAACAGCAAGACTCGGCCGAAGTAATAGTAACCGAAATTGATATCTAGTTTAATCAAGCACCTGCTAATTCGCAGAAGCCTAAATCATGTACCTGTGAAAAGTGTAGTCCGCATTCCGTGGATCCAAGTCGCTAGTATTACCGACAGCACAAACTTTATCGATTATCACTTCTCTTGCACTCGGCGATCCTAGTCTGAACTTACACGCTATAGAAAACGCCCAAAAACATCTTGTCTATCAATACCACTTAAGACATATACATTCCCTTCAGTAGGATAAATCTAATATGTATCATATACTTTATATATACTTTGATATGTACGTACTTGTTTGTGTCTATGTATATCATACCCGTCATCCCATCTCCAGAAGTTCTATTCATTAATGTAATCAATCCTCTAGGTCAACTATCTAATGATGAAGATAACTCAATATATAGATAAGCTAGCTATGCTAAGATAAGATGCTCGCTCCTCATTCATATGCCGTAGATGCGACTATATAGATATGTAATAGATGTGCTATTACAATATCCATATGTGCAACAAGATAAGGTATCCTTTTTTTTGTGTAGTGTTGACACGAAGGCAGCTGTAGTAGCACCCTGGTCGGGATAAAGAATTCATATATAATGGAGAAAAAAAATTCTTAGACCAAATAAAGATAGCAACCTCCAACGGGAGATCATGGAAAAGCTGTCGTGGGTAAATGCCACGTGCGATCCTGCGTGCTTGATGCTGGTCTGGTATCCAAGTAGAAACGAAAAACAAGAAGAAGAAAAAGGTATACTGCGTAAGGGATACTAACCAATATCCCGAGTGATTAGACCTTCGTTAGCAGGTCGTTCATCCATCCATCATGCCGTCATTTTGTTTTTTTCCTCCTTATATCGTGTACCAAACGCCGAACAGTCCATTCGCCCCCTTTATCCTCCAACTCATCGGGAATATCTGTAGCCTTCCCTAGCTGCTAGACGAGCCTCGTCTGACCTCTACGCTGAGCATATTAGCCCCAAAGAGGAAGGGCCCTATTAGGCTTGTGGTGGGCTTGATGTGATATGTTGTGGACTACTGCCCGGCCGATAACTCTAGCGGCATATTCTCGCCCTTCTCGAACGCGGGGCCAGGACCCGAGTAGCTAGGCGCCGGTATGGGTGTTACGCCTCTCGAATTACGATTTCCGGTCGTAATGATTCGAGGTAACGCTTCCAAGTTAGACTCGAGGCTATGAATTGCACTCGAATTGGCACCAGCCTTCACTGGCTGCGGGCTCACGAGCGTGGCCGGTTGCGCGGCGTGAGTAGCGTGAGCAGAATGTAATTCACTACTGTCTTTGCCATCACCAAGTTTTTGCAGTAGTGAGTTATGCCACTCAGACAACTCCTGTAGCTTGGCTGCAGGGTCCTTTTTAGAGCGTAGTATGTTAGTTATATCACAGAGGCAAGCCTCAGGGGTCCACCGAGTCCCATGCTCACATACCCATTCAGACTGCGCCGGCACACCGTGTGCGGCCGGGAGCATCGGGTTGTCATTATCGCTATCCCATGATTTCTGTCCGCGGATGGGCGCTGGAGTGACTGGCAAGCTAGGACGCTCAGCTTCGCTGGGGAAGTCGGTAACCTTGCTTCCTCGCCTGCGACGAGTAATCTCAGGCTGTTGAGCATTATCCTGGAACAATACCGCGCTAGGAGGAGATTTGAGGCTCGGCTTTTGCTTGTGCCTTTGTATCTTATCAACATAGCGTTCAATTTCAGGTACATCGTCCCAGGCATTGGTCATCGTAAACGAGGTCCAAGTGGCAGGTGTGATATGAATAGTTGGCGTGGTCGGTGTGACCAGCTCGCTCCTCTGGTCATCCGTGGATGCATCTGTAACAGAAGGCGCGTTCCATGGTCCACCCGTAGGTGTTTGTGCGCCACTAGACAGATGTTCCTCTTCGAACTCCTCCTCTTCTTCTTCTTCAGGTTCCTCCTCCTCTTCGGGTTCCTGGGGATAATCTTCGGCGAACACGCGAGAAGGCGCTGTTCGTTGAGTCTCCCAAGGGAATATATGTTTCATAGGGGGCGCACCAGGCTCCCTAGGAGGTTCATACCACTTTGGTGCGACCCACTGAGTAGTATCTTGAGACATATGATATACAGTAGAGGGGAAGTTCATAGCTTCCGGTCGGGAATTTTGTGGGGGAGCATGTCTATTTTCAAGTTAGTTCTTTAGTATTCTAACAATAGGTAACGGGGTTTGGTAACAAACCTCTGAGCGTCCCAGCTTGACGTGCTAGAGTGGAATGAATTCCCGTTTTGCCTATGCCCCTGGATGTACGCATTTTTAGTGGTACCGTTGGATTGGTATTCTCCCTTGGTAAGGAATTGCACGAGCTCCGATGTGGTCTAGATATGGTAAGCTGAAGATCTAACATACGGAAGGGTTAATAGGAACGTACAGATCCACGGTAATGTCGGTCATAAACAGCCCACCATCTCCCAGACATTTCGTCATAGGGCGAACTTCCAGTGCTGGCGCCTCTCCCTCTGAACCACGGCTTGTCGGCGCCGATGAAATGAACCATGCTAATGCCAGATTGGAAATGGCGATAAGCAGGGACATACTGGTAGTGGCCTGACGGGGTGACATTGTAGGCGAAGCTGAGGCGGTTGTGGTTGTTCTTGAAGTGCATGTTGATAAGACCCTGGTCGGCGCCGTCGAAGGAGATGCTCCTCTCGGCCATTGCCAACATGGCATGGTAGTCGCCCAGGTTAGGAGTTAGAGCCATGACACCAGTGTTGAAGAGATCCGGCCAGCCAATATCGGGAGCCGCGGAGAATGGGTGATCCAACGCAAAGAGCTCGTCCGGAGCTCGGTAGGCAACGACATCAGCATCGATATACACGATCTTTCGGAATTGGGTCTGCTTCCACAAGTTGATCTTGGTAAAGGCAGAGTGCAAGTCGGCTCGGTTCATCAGGTGAAGATTTGCCGTTTGGGTATTGCGTATTGTGTCAACCGGAATGATATAGTCGTAGACGGTCTATTCAATAAATTAGTCGGCTATAGCAATTAGGTGTTTGTGAAGCAGTAAACACATACCTGGAGCTCTGTTATGATTTCGGGCGCTACGGTATCCGTAGTGACCAGGGCGGCCAGCTTCTTGGTTGTACCAGCATCTCGTAGGGAGTGCGCAAGCACCAAAGCACCTTGAGGGAGATTAGTGAATCGATCACAAGACGATTGGAGTCGTAAAACATACCAGGTAAATATGTGTCGCTTAGAAGAAGCTATATGCGAACGTGTATTAGCTATTGTTCATACTCTCCATGAATGTATTCGGGATTCACTAACTGTAGCGTACACATCCTCCTGCGGTCCATCTTGCGTAGCCATTTCGTGCAAGAAGTGGCGGTCAAGTCACGCCGAAAAAAAGATGGTCGAGAGGGGTAGGTAGATATGCGAAGAATATTGACGCTTGAGGACGTATATTGGAGCTTAAAAGTCGTCAAGCTGTCTGCTTATAAAATAGACTATGGCAGCTAGATGAGAAGCAGTGAAGAAGTTAGGTTTAACTAGAAGAAATTGTAAATAATAGTTGTAGCAAGCCAAGTTGTTTTTATCTATGGCGATGAAGAGGGATGGCTGGTCTAGCCGGTTGGTTGCAAATAACCCTGCAGTGTATTTTTTTCTTCTTTGAACTTTGCCTTCCAAGAGACAAGGTTGAGGAGGAGATCATCAAAATGGACCGTGTTCGATATGCAAATGCAACGCTAGCGTTACTTCCATCAACAAGATGAACAAGGATTTATGTGGATTATATGTATTTACTTACATGTCCTTGGTCCAGCGATGCACTTATCTGGGTCTCAAGCTTAGTTTTTTGTCTGGAATAGTTTAAGGCATTGTTTAAGGCATTCAATATTAGGCATATGTGCTTCAACCTAGATTTAGTTTGATGGTTTGGAGATAGGATTGGTCCAAATATGCTAGGCTATGATTCCCAACTGAAATTGATAGGTATCAAGAGTCGTATGTTCTAGAAAAGTTTGAAGATTGAAGATTTGAGAAATACGAAATACGCAATACGCAATACGCAATACGCGGGCATGCGCATATGTACCTACTCGCATATGTTAGGTACCGTTGAAAGATAAATACAACAGCCGTTGAAAGATGAAAGACGTCTGGCGGTAACTATCGCTAATGGAGCCTTAATGATGGAACCTTAGGGACTGCGGACCCACTAAGAACCATATCAGCACCCATGAGCCATCGGAACACAGGCCTACGTATGTACCTACTAAAGCTCCGTAGCTCCACACAACATCCACTATCTATGTCCACTACGACCTGGGGATTTGGAACTGGATAACTGGATAACTGAAAGCTATCCACTAGCCCACATCGTGAATTTTGCCATTTGCTATCGTTTCTCGTCTCGGACTTGCCAAACTTTGAGGCGACCAAGACAAGATCGAATCCGTTGGTGAGGGAGCACTTGTTTTTTGCTTACGTCCCCTCCCTGCCCTCATGGCTGGGGAAGGTCTCGAACGTTCTCGTCTTTTTCAACATTAACAATTATCCACAACACCACATGTATCCACAAATATCTACGAATCCTAACAAATTTTAGAATCTTTTTGCCTTTTCGTACACCAGTCAACAACGATCAGGACCCACGAGCACAACAAGCAAGTTTAACATAATAAGCGCGCCACCCAGCATACATATAGATAGATAAGTTGCATCCAACCATCAGCGAGGAGAAGGAAGGGAGAATATCAACAAATTTTTGGAAACATAAAAAAAATCTCAACATTGAGGTATTTGGGTGGCTGGTTAAGAAGAATGTGCGCGTTATGGTTTGGACTACATGTAAGGATTCAGGTTAGTTAGTGCAACCAATCTGCCAATCTACCCAATCTACTCCTCTTAAGCAAGGACGTACATATGCCATCCACCTAAGCACATGTAAGTATTGTTTCACACATAAGATCTGTACATGTTTCTGCATGCCGATCCCGACAATTCGAACTCGGAGATACACGTAGCATACATCCGAGTTATAATCCAGCTTAACACACATGGCCCGATGTATATACAGTTATATAAGCAGCTGGTGTATACATATTATTAGGTAATGTAGAATGACGACACTTCTTTATAACCTTGACTTTTCTTGAATAGAACTATCTGGTGGCGAATCAGGGGCTGAGCTTGGTGAGCCCCACAAAGCGATCTTGGAGAACCTGACTAACTAACATCAATATGTACATACATAGACTTGACTATGTAAAGAACCCTGATTACATACATAGGAAACAGCTCTGCCTCTTTCCTTTCTCTGAAATAAATAATGATAGAAATGGGTGAGGAATCTAGGGAAAGTCTAAATTGCCACACACACCCCGCCTTCCAATGTTCTAATATTCAATGTTGCATGTGCACTAGTTACGTGCACGTATCCATACTACCTACATACATAGATCTTCAATGCTCCTATGGACATACATGTATGGATTCCGAATGGCCTGGGTTTTACAACTCCACAACTCCACAACTCCATATTTCTTTACACATACACTATGCAGTTCTCGTTGCTGGACCATCCAACATCAGCCTAACATACCCAAGTATCAACGGAAAACTGCCCAACTTCAAATTATTCGATAACGCACACATCTCTTACAGGTCAGAAATATCGTGGAAATTTTTAAGGCATCGCGGCTATTCGAATTCAGAAGCTTCTCCAAACATTAATCATCCATTATCCATCTGTTGTTCATTATACACCATACACCACACTAGCAGACTAGTTGGGCCGCCGGGAAGTGTGGATCTTTCTTATTCCTCTATTCCCTATCGGCGGGCCGGACCGGACTCGAAAACTTCATGTTACGAACAGGAAACAAGAGAGATCCTCATAAGAAGGTTACTCGCCCTTCTCTAGCGGTGACCACGGAAAACAGTCAATGTAGCGATGCTAGTGAGAGATCCGCAGTAAGCACACTGCATTTCCATTCCATGGGACTTGATATCATTAGAATATATGTGATCGTCGAGGCTATATCATATAGGCACGCGAGTGCGTTACTACAACCCGACCCCATGGCTCTTCATCTCCCCAGATCACGTACTAGGGTATTCGGCAATATACCATATAACTAATAATATGCTCATATACATTAACTGCTTGCGTCTATACTCATTACGCTTCCTTCTAACGACGTGCTATCTTTACGATATAATATAATGAAACTAATGAGTATACCTTCTCTATCAGGTCAGTCATTCTACTGCACACATCAACGATGACGATACAGGTAGCTCAGGGGCCAACTTCCCATTCCTCGAACTCCCGTTTGAGTTACGTCTAGAGATATACGAGTATCTTTTATGCTCTCCGGATGATATCATAATATCTTCAGGACGTCGTCAGATTTATTGGTACCGCCCACAACTGCCTACGTGTGAGCTTCGCCGCCTCCCCCACCGAAAGCCACATGTAGAGTTGCTACGTACCTGCAAGCAGGTAAATTCAGAGGCAACTCCTATCGTTTACAGGAAAAATAAATTCCTCGTAGTCTGTACGTGCCCTAAGTTCATACAAAGCAAAGCCCAGATTGAATACTGACAATGTGGGTGTTATGGAGTGCCTTATATGGCACCATTCTGCCCTACGAACTTCTTCCTGTGGAGTCTGCGGCGATCGACCATGTCCAATGTGACCTCTATCATTTTCGTCTTTGCCTGTCGCGATAATTGTCCACTGTGGCTCGATTTGTGTCCCATCATCAAAGGGGAGTTTATGAACCTGAAGAAATTTACTACAACGGGACCACAGCTAGTCAAATTATGCTTCCCGTATTATAGCCAGTCACATTGGCTACCTCTATCGAGCAGAATACGGGGCGTGTATGCTCACATTCGTATTGAAGCCTTCCAGGACAACACTGCAGTACTGAGGGGATATGACTGTGGCAGACATAGGGAAATGATACCAGGAAGACCGGGCCGTAAGAAAGAATTGGCACCGATGAGATTCTAGTTCTTAGATTGCTCAAATCTGTTTGGCTGCCTAAACCACACCCGCCAACACACTTAATCTTGTTGCCCTACATCTACGGTTTTGTTATATTTCGGCGCGGATAGGGCGTGGGAAAAGCGAGCTCTGAGAAATTTCTCATGGTAGTGAGGGCAATAAGATACCTCCTGAGTAGCGCAATTAGACTTTCAAATAAATAAGTTTTCACTGGGCGAAAATCCTTTGGATATATGATCTTACGTTACGATGACTGATCTTATATCTTGGTACAACGAGGGAGGCTATCAACTGATACACCTTGATTGGCTTGGAACTACATTTATTGATGATGACGTGTCTGCGAGCAGGTTACATGAACGCAATTTATCTTGGTCGGAAGGACCTATTATATTAAGGTAGGGAAAATGAATTCCTATAGGGTAGAAATTGGTAACTTAGCCTCCTCCTCGTATTACTTATTAAGTGACCTCTATCTACTATCAAGTATCGCGAGTAATATCGACCCCTTTAATCATAGGTCTCTAGAGCTCATAATACTACACACAGGGCAAGCTTGAACATATAAACGTCTAGGAATACTCTAAGGCGTGTTGGATATTTGAAATTAGGTTCATGAAAAGCCCGAGCAGAAACCTCGCCTCGGCCACTATAAATCAATTGTGATACACCCCTAAGCCGAAATCCCGCCATCTGATTCCAAATACGACCTGCCACCATATCGCTTTCGCCAACGTGTTCTACTGCCAGAAGTGAAGGCCTATGGACGTTTCCGCTATGGGCTTAATAAATATTACTACTACGTTGATAAGCCTACGCCCATATCTTTCCCGGGACGACTTCTATTCCTTCCCGTGTTCACTTTCCATTCATCTACATAAAACGCCATAACGGTTCACCATTTCCTCAAATACCTCATAATTTACTACGCTCGCGCTATATGAATATCGCCGGCAACCAATCTTGTCCCGGACACCTAGGTAGATACCATGCTACCTCACAACACATACGATCATAGATCCTTGCGGAAGCTATGCTCCGGCTTATGCGTGGTCTCGTAGTCAACATGAACATAAGCGCGCTCGATATTCGGGAGCTTCTCGAGCTCAGTCTGTAGACCCTCTGAAACATCGTGGGTGGTGCGGAGAAGGTCGTCAGGGTCCATGACAATGTCGATCTCGGCGATGAGCTTGGGGCCGGCGTGGTAGACACGGACGGTATCGATGCCGAGGATGGCGTCAGAGTACGTCAGACACACGTACGTGATGAGACGGTGGACGTCGATATCGGCCGCGCGCCCCACCAGGGTCATGAACTCCTCGAACGCCTGGTGCAGCCACGCGCCGCTGATGATCAGCGAGATGATGATGGCCCCCATAGGGTCAAGCCACCATGCTAGCTTCGATCCGCCGACGGAAGTGAGTACACCGAAGCCGTTGATTAGGAGGTCGTTGCGGTGGTCCTGCCACAGGATGTTCACCTGGCTGTACTTGTCCTTAATGCCCCAGCAGTACAGAAACAGGACGAATTTCGTAGCGAAAGCCACACACACCGCGATCACCGAGGGCAGGTGGAATTTGTTAACTTCGACCTCCGTGCCCCGGCGGTTCGAGATGTCCTGACACGAGAAGGCGATCAGGATGGCGGACACGGCCGTCATCATGAAGCAGAACGCGATGTTCCCCACCGTCTCCAGGCGTGCCTTACCGGACGGGAACCTATTAGGATCCACCCGTTTCATGGACTGCTGGACAAGGATTAGGGTGAGGTTGCTCAGAGGGTCGAAGACGGCGTCGGCCATGGTGGTGAAGAGAGACAGAGAGCCGGAAGACACGGCACCGTAAATCTGCAGCGCAGCCAGGAACACATTGGCGACGAAGGAGCCTATGACGGCAATCTTGACCCGTAGGTTGTCGTCACCGGCCTCGTTCTGGGCTTCGGTGGAGTGCTCCTCCACCGATTTGAGCATTTGCTTGATCGTGTCATTCTGCTTGTGGTAGAAGGTCTGGACCTTTCGTGCTCGGAGGGTGGATGTAAACTGGTTGATACTTGAGCTGACAGCGCCCGTGCGCTTGCGAGCGGTATTAGCTTTGATTTCGTCAAGCTGCTCAGGCGTCTTGAAGGCCGAAGACAAGTTATAAGGGTCACTGCCGCCATAGCGGTTGGGACCGGTCTGCGACTCAATATCTGCAGCTGTACTGGCCGAGTGGCGAGCTACAGGATGGTCACCGTGCTCGTCCATGGCTTCTACACTTGTGCTTGTGGCATTGTGGTGAGGGGCACGGGAGTGATGAGACTGCGATACAGGTGTGTGGACCGAGGACCGCGAGCCAGAAGCCTGTGCGTGTTGGTAATCACTTAAATGCGAGCGCGAGGCCGCAGAAGGTGAGATGTCAGATGTCATAGCCCTAAGAGAGCTCGGACATACAGCCGGAGATGCTAATTACTCCTATCTGTACGTGAGGAATTAGATAAGGCGCAGAATGTAAGTTGCGATGCGCAAGAGGGAGAAAGGAGGATATATAAGGTCTCCACTCGTAAAGTACCAGAGTCAGAGAATATGTTGGTCTCGACGTTGCTAGCCTCTATTTACGCGCGGGTTAGTATAAAATATTGAATATGAAGCTGACCTGTGATTAAGCTTATTGATTTGAACTCGATTACATGTAAGCAAGAGCTACAAGCACAGTGTTTGATAAGATGTAGTACAATTATGTAAGATGAAGAGAATTGAGGAATAAGGTCTTTGTAGGGAAGTGACGTAGAGACGTAGAGACGTAGAGACGTAGAGATGTAGATTTGAAGATGCACGGGCAGGCACTAACAAGACTATTGAACGGGAACTAAATAAAAGATAAAAGTTAGGTAGTCACGACACTACCATTGCCATTGCCAACATTACCAACTCTCCAAGCTTTAGCGGTGAGAACACAGTAAATAAAATAACCACTAGTCTCCCTCCCTCCCTAACCTACCTTTATCCCTCGACTCCAAGAATGAGGACACTATGACGAACGAGCTTAGCTTCGTGTGGCAAAGAGCCGAAATGCGAAGAGCGGAGATGGGATAAGGCAATGGCAATGGCAATGGCAATACCCAAGCTCAGCCCACGCCACGCCGACTCAAGAAAGTGCCAACTCCGGCAACCCAACACGCGCTCAAATCCGTCATTGTGATTAGTCTACACGAGATAGACAAGACAATGGTACCTAACCTAGGTACGTAGCGTAAGCTGATCGTAAGTGGAGAAGGGACGAATAGCAAGCTTGCAAGAAATGTTGGATTGCAAGTAATAATTCAACCTCGGCCGCCCGAGGCGAAGACCAACGTGCGATTTTCGTCTGACGGGATCGATTGACCTTCTGTTGTGGAAGATTGATCGTTTTTTTGTCGTTGCAGCCAAGAATGAACAAAACTTGAAAAAAAAAAAATCGAAAATCAAAAGTAAAAAAAATCAATGCAGATGCCAAAACGGATCGGGTCGAACTTTTATATATGCCAGGACAAGGGCTGCTGTAACAGCAAATCGTCCCATGAATTCGGGTCCCATCGGGAAATGCTACATTGTATGCTATGCGTCCAAGAGGGTCCCTTATGTACATATTCGAAGTACCTACCTTGGTACAATACGTAGTGGACATGAAGCATATGCGATTTTCGGAAGGGTTATCACAGGTCGAATTCTAATAATTAACCAAGTTCAAAGCATATCAATCTTCAAGGGCAGATCTAATACATCAAAACTGAGGCTTTTACTATTCATGACCTCTTATATTTGGAAATGCATAGCAATGCCGTATATCTCACTTCTCTACTTAGTCAAATAGTAATCTAGATGAGTCATCGTAATATTGTAGTTCTATGATAGTCTCCTAGGTTAGTCTGGTCCAGTCCGGTCCGGTCGAATCCAAATCATTTACATTCAACATATATACCACACATATATAATCTCCTCTAGGGGTATCAAGTCCGGTCCTCTATCCTTCGTATACTGAGCACCCTAACCATATACCCTCATGCATCCGCCCGCCTTAAAGGATGCGCCTCGGTATTCAATACCCATTCGTCCAAGTTAGCCAAATCCCAGTCACCAAAGATCAAGTAGAAATATTTGAGCGTCTCAGCCAGCCAGAAGCTCTCCATGCTGTCAACCTGCTCCGGCTTCTTCACCGTTATGTCGTCTAGTGCCGCCGCCGCGTACTTCGATCGTGTCCACTTATCGACGGCTTCGAACATGGCCCACGCCTGCTCCATGTATTTGTGATCTCCTGTCATGCGCCACATCATAAACACGGACTCGATGGCCTCGGGGCGCAGTAAGTACCGACGGTCGTCAACATTAACCATACCGAGGGGCAGATGCCGCGCCTCTATGATGTTATCCTTGACTTGCTTGTCGGAAAGCGTATCACCCTTCATATTGCGACCCCAAAATTTCCTAATCGCCTCCGTCCATCGCGCCTCGCTCCACTGGCAGTCGTCCTTAGTAACATCCGGGTCACAAGGTATGAAGCGGAACAGCTCGGGTCCAATACCCGAGTCAGTTTGGTTGTACGACCACACACACCCCTCCGTCAACTGCTCTGCTATAGCTAGGTCCGATGGGCGGTCGAAGATCTTAGCTGCCATACCCACCATACCTCCTGCAAAGCATGTCAAATGTTGCGCTATCGGAGTATTCACAATCTGCTCGCTGCCCTCGGGCATCGAGACAACCCTAGTGTCGCCGAAGAAGAGCAGCTTGAGATTGTCCGGGTTTAAAGCACGACGGAGAAGATGCTTCTTCGCAACGTCTATGAAACCTTCGTACATCCTGCGGGGCTGATCAAGGGCGCCTCCGAGCAATAAGTACTGCTTTCCAAGATACTCAAATGTACTATCGGCCATTCCACCGAGAGTGAAGGAATCTCCAGTAGACTTGAGAGGCGTCTTCGAGGGGTCCACTATGATCGGCCATATCCCTGGTAGTGCAGTTGTCTTTTGGTCCTTTTCTAGGCCGTCGGCTATTCTTTGTACGACATCGTAGTATTGCATATCACCGGTCAATTGAGATAGCTTCGTAAGCTCAAGACTTAGTGACCCTACTTCGGCTAGCAGAGCATGTCCCGGAGCTACCTGTGGCTTACCCCTAGCATATTCCTTCCAGGGGAACCGCGTTATGGGCATGTGGTTCGGTGTATCGAAACACGACATCACCAGATCGGCAACCTCAGTCGCCTTTTTAAGAAGGCTTGGATATTGTTTTTCACTTAGCTCGTATGCCGCTAAGAAACCTCCAAGATATCGAATTGTCGTCTCGAAAATGTTGATATCACGAGTCTCCGTAGTTGTGAAATCGATTGTCTCGCAAGCCTTCACTGCAAAGTCAAAATCCTCTTTCATATCAAGGAGCCATAGGCTGTCTAAGGAATCAACGAGGGTTGCTGCCCACCCGGCAAAAGGATCCTTATGCAACCCCGAGAGGGGTTTGATCTCATCATGACCCCATGCATATTTCTTATACCCATTCCAACTATGTTTGAAGCTATCCTTGATAGCAGCAAGTCTTCGTAGTCGCAACTCCTTATCAGAAGCACTCTCTTTCGGTCTCGCGACTTGTACACGCGGTATTCGTCTGGAAGGCTTATTGGTCGGGAGCGTAGCGAGTTTTTTCACGGGGTGCTGAGGCGGACGCTTTTCCCACTTCGGGCCTTTAGAGCCAGCCGAAGCCGACGTAGGACGATTTCCCGGACCACGAGTATGACTAAAAATACCCGTATCGGCGGGTGGGTGCCAGCTATAGTACCAAGATGCAAGTACCCAAATGGCAATCGCAGCGAGAAGTATTCGGACTCGTCGAACGCCCATGGCTGCGACTATGGCAGATTGAGACGTAGATCTAACGTATATTACTCTAACAAGGCTTCAAAGCTAGCGAATGCAGTCGGAAGGAAGCAAATATTCACATCGCTCGAGCACGGATTGTATAATATCAGCCCGGAGAACTGACGAAAAGGTCAGCTTTCCTAGAGGCAAGCAGGTAAGAGATCTTGAATTCGTAGCTAAACATCAGATGAATGAATTATTACTGTTAGAGGTTTGAGTAGCGGGGCGAGGTTTATGTCATGGTTCGCGGAACGGGACTCTTTATGTGTTTGGGGGACGCAGTTGGGGGAGTATCTATTTCGGTAGTATTTTGGGTGGTGGTAAAGTCCGAATTGAAAGAAAAATACCTAAACTCGAATTTAAATAAGGGGTTCACATAACGGACAGGAGCTTCCCTGTCAAGCCGCTTCCGTAAGCCACATAAGGTTATCCCCGTTCTCCACCGCATAGCCACTGGCCCAAGCTCCCCTAGATAAAGACTATTAGTGAAGTCTTCGGAATTCCTATAATGAATTCTCTTCGACTGCAACCTCTGGGTTAACTCACTATTCTCTTGTTCTGGAGCCATGGATTTTGCTGACCAGGTGCCTTCTTATTTAAACTGGTGGACTTCGGTTTCTGCTATTATGTTAATTAGGAAACGTGTATTCAAGTCTATTGGGTTACTGGTGATAACGGTATTGACGGTAATTATAGTTAATGTTAGATTAACAAGTCACTATATATACTCACTATATAGGCCGAATTCACAAACTTCTTATTTCAGTATTGCGGGGCTGAACTAGGTAGCTATTAGCCTATTATGTCAGAAAGGTAATTTATGCTAAGATTGAAGTGCAAATATTTAGTAGATACCTGACGCATGTAGTCAACTACTCACCGGGTCGTACGCTTAACCGTAGGACAATTATGTAGGTAATGAAATGTATCTACTTACCTACCTACCTAGGTACCTGATATACAGTGAATAGTGCTAGCGAGAGGGAGAGAAATAATGGCCCCATCAACCCTGTGTGATTATAATAAACAAAATGTAGAAAACATTTATATTAAGGGTAGTTATAGCATGACTTAATCTGTAGACCAAGCGCTGTAGGCATATCTATAAGAACAGTTCAATATAGCACTATAATTTGTGGGTAGCACTTCCTGTCATCTTAAACACCTGGCTCCATGAAGAGTTGGATAAGTCAACGAGTTCTGGTTATGTTTGACCTTTTCATGTTTGAGCCTATGCGGAGGCCCCTACGTTGGGGTTACCGTATCGTATCTTAAAAAGTCTAAATTGATGACTTCGGTTATGGAGGAAGTCATCATACAAGCAATACTAGATGAAGGACGGTATCTCGAGTCAATCGAATGCTACACAAGGGACAAACTACAAGGCTTCGGTAGTAAGATTAAAGACCTATAAATTTCACGGTAGCAAAATAGTAGTGTGGGAGGGGACGTTAAGTCACACCAAGATTGACGTGCTATTGTTTTATCGGGAAATATAGAGTCAAGACAGCCGTTGGTGGAGGAGATCCTGCCCGTCTTTCAGCCTAACACCATTCATGTGTATATCACCACCCGAGCTGGCAATGTCAGCTCAATCAATAGCGTCCCACTGGCCACGGTCCCGAGAAAGAAAAAAGCTCATCGTAACATAAGAAGTGGGTATGATGGCAACAGGTTAGCTAAAGTCTAACAAATTCCTGTTTTCTTTCTCCATTTTATTTCTGCATCATTAGCTGGACGAACTCGTTGTCTAGTAATGCAAGTTAGTATGGACAGGGCCTTTGGGTTGTGAGGGGTGTTTACTTACAATCGATGCGGCCGTCACCGTCCTGGTCAGCCTCGCGAATCATCTCGTCAACCTCGTCATCGGTGAGCTTCTCTCCAATAGAAGTCATAACGTGGCGGAGTTCAGCAGCAGAGATGAAGCCGTTGTTGTCACGATCGAAAACCTGTTTGAATATAAGCGGCTGGGTATTTGTTTGCGTGGCTAAGAGATTCGAACCTTGAACGCTTCTCGAATCTCCTCCTCGGAGTCGGTGTCCTTCATCTTGCGTGCCATCATGGTCAAGAACTCTGTGCGACCCTAACGTCAGTAAGGCTCCGAGGTGGTACGACTTTGCGCCAGGCAGCAACAAACTCACCAGGGAAGTCAATGGTTCCATTGTTATCGGCATCGACTTCGTTGATCATGTCCTGAAGCTCAGATTCGGAGGGGTTTTGACCCAGCGATCGCATGACGGTACCTAGCTCCTTTGTTGTGATTTGTCCTGACAGTCATAGGTTAGTCGAGTTGGTTCGTTGGTATAGAGGCACGAGGCAGGCGAAGTAGACAGAGGTAGTTATGGTATAATTGCTCTTATCGATTCAAGCAAAAGTAGTGTTGGTTGCCAATATCGAGATAGTAACTTACCATCACCGTCTTTGTCCTATTGCGAGCTATTAGCGGGTACGTCATCAAAGGCAAGACAACTCAGCAGCTAGCATCGATAGCTATGAAAAGTAAAGAAGTAATAGAGGTCTGGGAAAGACTTACAAAGAGGGAGAAGGCCTCCTTGAACTCGGAGACTTGCTCTTCGGTTAGAGAATCGGCCTGAGGGTAGAAGACGAGGTCAGCGCGCGTTCTATTTTCACCTCCTTAGAGCCCCTCATCGGCGGGGTTCTCTCTAGGTTGGCGGTGACTGTCTGAGAAGAGACATACCATGGTTGAGCTGTTTTCGAGATGCGATATCTGTGTATAGGTTTATGATGAAGTTGTAAGGTAGCGAAAAGAACGAGTGGCACTTGTTCGCTATCGCAGTTAACTACAGAAGATGTAGGTTTGCCAAGGAGAAAGAAGGGCCTCTGGTTTTGAGAAGCGTCAAGGGTTGGCTCAATAATATTAGGAACAAGGCAGGGCTGGATTTCATAAAAATAGTGGGGAGGAGGTGGATGATGGAGGGGCTTCTTGTAGGGGGTACCTCCTTAAAAAGTTAAGGGGGGGGGGAAACCATCTGGGCACTTTGGACTTGTATGGACGTCGGTAGGTACCTAACGGATAGAGGCAGCCGAGGGATACATGTACTTTCCTTTCAGCTAAGCGACCTTTTTATTTATCATTTTTTATTTATTACATGTACCTACCTAATAACTATACATATACGTACCTAAGTCCTATTAAGTCCTACATATCTACATTAGGTAATTAAATGCATATTAGGTATATCCATATGGTATATGTATGGTGTGACTAGAAGGACCGTGCGCTATAAGATGTATGTACATATGTACCTATGTAGGTCGGTACATGTAATAGGCTAACATACTGACTTGCATCTATCCGAACCATGAACGCACGTTTAAATGCCAATCAAACCCGAATATTGAATCTACATGCACGTATCTATATGCGGATGCTCGCTCAATGCTCGTCAGCCCTGCAACCCAAAAGGGGAGTACGGGCCAGACTGGTCGGAGCTACGTCAGCTGTAAGGGAGCTGGCAATTCTGCATCTACAATGTACCTAACGCCGTAATGGAATCTGTACAATATACAATAATCTATGTAGACTCGAGGCTCACTTTTTATCGTTCGATTACTAACAGCTTAACGCTTAACATGACATCGTTTTTCTAGTTTTGCCGTACCGTCTCTTTGACCCAATTCCTTTCCTTCCCCATCCATATCAGAATAGCCAAAGTGAGGGTGTCAACACCTTCTATCCGCGTCCGCCATGTGGCGAGACCGCACCAACCTGTGAGCCTAGCCCACTCGTTATATATATATATATATACCCACGATGTCGCTTAAGACTTACAACCGAAACCTAATGTAGCTATATATCCTACCGCCAATCCTACGCCCACCACCCGGCCAAGAAGACGCGATACGGCCCCGGCCCCGGCGGCGACAGAAATGGCTTCCCGGAATTCGCCCGCGGTAGCGGCACCAACGCCGAGGACCAGCAGGGTCTGCTCTCGGGCGCCGACTACCACGACGACGGTGACGCCGTCATCGAGATGGACCTGCTACCCCCGCGCTGGGCCGACATCAACGACGAGGTCTCGGACCTACTCGCCGAAGTCGCCCGCAAGTCGCAGACCCTCGAGCGCCTACACCAGAAGCACGTGCTGCCCGGCTTCAACGACGAGGAGGCCAAGAAGGCTGAGGAAGGCGAGATCGAGCGCCTGACTCAGAGCATCACAAAGGCCTTCCACGACTGCCACCGCTGCATCCAGCGCGTCGAGCAGATGGTGCGCGACGGCAAGCAGAACGGCGCCATGACCAGGGCCGAGGAGACTATGGCCAAGAACATACAAATAAGCCTTGCGACGCGGGTGCAAGAGGCAAGCGCCGGCTTCAGGAAAAAGCAAAGCGCATACCTAAAGAGTAATTCCGCCCTCGAAAACGCCAGCGATTAGACCCCTAGTGCTAACACTCACCCCAGAACTCCGCGGAATGTCCGGCCTAGGCGCCGCATCCCCCATCGGCGAGCGCAGCTCGACGCCCCTCGGCGGCACCAGCAGCAGCAGCAACAACTACGCCGCGGACCCATCTCTCCTCGAATCCGACGCCGACCGGTCATACTCGCAATCGGCGCTACAGCAGACGACACAGCAGCGCCAGCTCCATTCCAACGACGCGGTGATCCTCCAGCGCGAGCGCGAGATCGAGGATATCGCGCAGGGCATCATCGAGCTATCGGACCTGTTCCGGGACCTGCAGACGATGGTCATTGACCAGGGCACGATGCTCGACCGCATCGACTACAACGTCGAGCGCATGGCCACCGACGTCAAGGGCGCGGACCGCGAACTCGTCGTCGCCGCCGGATATCAGAAAAAGACTACTAAGCGCAAGCTTATCCTCCTACTCGTCCTGCTTATCGTCGGCGCTATAATACTCTTAGCCTTGAAACCGAAAGGCCGTGGTGGTGGTGGGGGGAGTAATGATGGAGGGACTGATGGGGAAGGCGACGGGGGCTGAGGAGAGAGCATTTCTGGGTTGTGCTTGTTGTACGTTTGGGAGGCTTGTAGGAAATACGGTATATCATATTTGAGCTCGGGTCATGTCATTGAGCTATTCGAACTAGAGTTGTCGAGCCACCTATCATGGGCATGGGAGGCACCGACAAAATCCTGTATCAGACAAGTTTATTTAAATCTTAATTCTGTCTTATGAAGGTGTATACCCTCTCATTTATCATCTATAAATCGGTGGGTATCTTTATTCTATAGTTATTGTATATGTACATATAGGCGTTAAATCTATTTAAATCTATACTACAACACGATACGAAGTTGAGGTATTGTCCTCCCTATCTTTTGCAGATACTTATTATCTCGCATCATCAACTTATGGCCACGAGTCTCGATTTCCTCTTTGAGCGTCTCTAACGGTGGAAGGAGTTCTTCTCCCCAAGCCTCATCCAGAAAAGATTTCATTTCCTTCAACGTTAAATTATTGTTCGCTCTGGCCAACTGCCATACTCTCTTCGTCGGATAACCAGGTCCATAGATGTCGATTAGGCGCAGTTTAAGCAGAGCAGCTAAGCGTGGTTTTTCGATAAGAACGCCCCGGTCGTAAAGAGTCCGTAGCAATTTCACAGCTCGACCGCCGCCGACTTTTATATACCGTTGACGATGACTTTGTATGGGAGTGATCACCTTAGATTGTTTCGGAGAGGAGTGAAATGAATAGCGTACGATAGTCCCTAATAGCTTTTTGTCGAATATTTTGCATAACGGATGCAGGCGCGTCTGGGTTGGCAAGTCCAAAGGAACATATACACCTAGGAGATTTTCAACACCGGATAGCGGCTTTTTCATGGGTTCCGGTATATCCTCCGGGTGTACGGGAACGAAACCCGGGCGGGAAGACTGGAAGGAAGTAAACATATCTGCCAATTCAATACTGAGTTTTTCCAGCTCGTCTACTCTGCTTTGTCGAGTGAGACAAAAAAGTATCTTCCGCCAACAGTCAATGGGTACTGGAATTTCCATAGCCGCAAGCTGTCGGCAAATAGGTAGGTAAAAGTAGAGTGAGTCTTCAGGTAGAAATGTTGACTTGGCTTCGCTGACTAGGTTGTTGAAAATGAGGCTTGTCTGGTTGGAATCGAGTGTAATTTTCATTGCCTTCATATCGTCTAAGAGCTTCGAGAGCCCTGCTCGGTCTTTGTGTAGAATGTAAGTTTGAGCAAGCGCGTTGGCTGTTTGGCGAGTCGGCTTATCCATTACTGCTAGCCGTGTAGCTAACATAAGCCGATGAGTCCTCCAATCTTCTGAATTGGCCGTAGAGACAACGAGGTGTGACTGCAACTCAGCATCATCAAATACGTCCGGATGAAGGTCGCTATGTAGAAGATCAAGAAGAAGCTCATCATCGTTCATCTTGGCTAGATAGAGGACTAATCTCAAATAATTGGAATCGATAACTGAAATGCCCTGCTCGCGTAGTTGCTCGATGCGTTTTAATACGCCCTTTGATGTTCCTTCTCTCAGCGCGATTGATTGCAACGATAACGGTCCAATCTCGCTGATGCCCAAAGCGGAGATTGTAGATATGGCAGTGTTCAAACTGACCCAGGAGCTGGCCAGCCACTTGGCTCCTAGTCCATCGTTATAATTCTTGACGCTGATGCCGAACGTCCCGCCGTGCACACGATTCATGAATTCCCGAGATAATTCAATTTTCTCCGCATCTTCCTTTGACTCAAAATTCAAGTTGTCGATCACGACGGATTCCTCGGGACGAAGTGGTACATAAGGGAAGTATCCCTGCAGAAATCTCAGGAAAGGCCGAGCAGAAACAGGTGCTAGAGGTACATCGTCATGTCGAACGCAGGTACGTCGCCATTGTGCCGCTAGCCGGGACGCGCCCAAGTCGTACAGATATGGGACGAGGGTATCATATAGCTGGCGATCGGGGTTTACTATGTACATAGACTCGAGAATAGGAGTACGGTACAGCTCTAGGTCATTTGCAAACTGCTTGATTATGCTCGCAAACTCGGTTGCGCCTGGGTAGAAGGTTGGAGTTAATCGTAGCTGCCACTGCAGAGCTTGGTGGTGTTGGTGAGTGCGCAAAAAATGTGACAGGACTGTCGAGTATAGCTGCGGCCATTTGACACCATGCATCTCATACATCCACTCGCTGTAAATCCAGACGCTCGTTAGGAACTTGTTCTCCTTAGACTTCACTGCAGCCTCTAACATTGTTTGCCAAAACGCAGGCGCAAGAGGATCCTGGACATCGTACAGCGACTTGCGACCCCAGAGACCTCTCCAAACGTCCCAAACGCCTAGGTCCCCATTGACTCTCTTTTTGTAATCCAAGAGAACACTCCATAAAGCAAGATCGTTACGATTTTCGAATTTGTCCACCAACAGCTTGCCGTACCATTTTTTGGCGGGACCGCGCCGGTCAAAGTCAGACTCGACAGAGAGACGGTAAGGGTTGGTCAACAGAGCTTTCCATTGCCTAAATAGCTTCGTCTCTTGAACTGGAGGAAGGTTCGGCTTCTGTTGCTCCGTAGGCGTCTTCTGTGTCACTTGGACCTTATCGGATAGTTCCGGCAAGAGAACATCGAAAGGGCTTCCCGAGCTGTTCGAGGACGATGCTGAGAAATAGTACCGTGAATTCTTTCCAAGTTCCGGGGAGGACAACCGAATACGCTGTCCATGCAGCTGAGGGTGCTGGAGCGAAAGTGGGAATCGAGGATGGAGGACAAGACGCTTTGGCTTCACATCTCGAAGGGGGTTGCTCACCAATCGCATTACTGCCACACGGTCACATATTTCTAAGCAACTTAGTCAACGGGAGTAGCCTCAAGAAGAAGAGAAAACGGTGAAGCAAGAGTCCCGAAGGTAGAGAGTGAATAGTTGCATAAGGAAAATAGAAATTTGAAAGATGCAGCTTAGATCGGATTAATACATACCTTAGGTAAGGTATTTCGGTACTTTTCGACGTAAAGCCAATAAGGAAATCGCAGTTGCGCCCATTGGACCGCTGTTAGGACAGGGGGGGTTAGTGGGGTTTACATTAAGTAGGTAGTTACAAGGCCTAGCCGAGGTTTTAACGCTTAGTCATATCAGAGAGCATTAACTAACCTAATCCGAGATCCGATCATTCGATGTTTGAATCGCTGCAATTCAAGCTTTCGACAACAGCTCTTCATACACTCTCGAATCCGTAACCCTGCTTCCGAACGACCCTCGAACATCTACAAAATGGCGTACGTGTGCACCCTACGTTCCGATATCCTTGCGACGGTCCATGTGAACGTCAATGGCCTTATTCCGTCGTCGCGCGGATTCGAATATCTTTACGATAGAACGAGTTAGCTTCGTTGACGTATACTAACCAGCCATGCAGTCTAGTCAACGCCCCAAACAAGGTGCCTCAATACCAGCGATTCTACCAGCAGGCTTACAACCAGCATACCCGACTCTGGAAGATCGTATGTGTCTAATTTGTTCATGTGCATTCCGCCCGAGGCCATCTTCGACTGACCGAATATAACGCAGAACCCGCGAAGCAACTACCTACTTGTCCCTTATCAGGTCCTACTCTGGGGCACTTTCGGAGGTTCGTTCATCATATTATAGATATCAGTAAGACAAATTCTAACAATGACTACAGCCTCTATGTACATGATGGGACGTAAGATTCTAGGCTACAATACGTGGTTCGGCAAGAACTAGACTGGGAAAAGAGAAGACAAATAGCATTGTAGACGAGAGAGGCGAGGACGACCACATATGTCCTATTAGGCTGAAGAATAGACGGTTGTTCATACGATCCCTACGAGTTTCCTTCTAGTTTCGATGACCTCATAAATCAACCCTCTTATATCCAAGAAGTCGCGAAGTTGATGTAGAAATTGACGTAAATCAGTCCATTACGCCCAAGGCACAAGAAACCTCTACAATGCCTGCTATTTACTCGTACATGAATGTTTTCTCTAAGTACAGCCTACGTTGATAGTAATCCACCCTCGAATACCTGTTAATAAACCAACTAGCTGGTAGCTTTTATTGGTTGGTCATCCCCGTATACTGGTATTAAGGACATGTCTAGTATCCTTCGGCTCCGGGGGCCTTTTCGTCCTTGCGCAGGCTCATCAGTAGTTCACGGAAGCGCTCCTTGCCCGAACCGCTGGCACCGCCCTTCTGGCCTTTCCCGCTCACATCCACCAGCTTAGCAATGCGCTCCCAGCTCGTGCCGCCGGAAGTGGTATCGTCTCGGCTGGCCAGGAATTCCTCTGCCTCCTTTCGGGTCTGCGCGATCATCTTCTCTTTCTTGCTGTTGTAGTTCTCGTAGAAGTCATCAATGTTCTGCTGAGCCTCCTTGATAGTCTCAGCCTTCTGGGCGGCAAACTGCTCAGCTCGTCGGGCGTTGCCGGCATCCCTTTTTTCGCGCCACTCCTTAATCACTTCAGGTTCCTCCTCTTCTCCGACATAAGCGTTGAAGCCAGAGTTGTAACTGACGGACGGGCCAGTGATAGTACCACCAGGTGCGACATGCTGTTCATTGGTCATCATTAGGACGCAATCTTGCTACGGCTGGCTCAGAAGTCACAAACCTCGTTGGAAGTGTTGATATCGGGGAATTGGTTCTCGAATTGGGCGCTTTCGGCGCCGCCTCCTAGAAGATCGTCGGATGAGGGATCCGCAAGGGCCGCAGACTCGTTGCCCGTGGTAAACTGCGTGGCGTCATCGCCAAGGAGAGCGCGTTCTCGAGCGAGGAAATCGTCGGCTGATGGCGAACCAACATCTTGGATCTCGGTCTGGGCTAACAAAGAGAAATTGGGAGTGAGCGCCAATTGCTAGATTAAAAACAAAAAGTAGGGGGTAGCTCTACTTACCACCAGAATCAAAGTCGTCTAGCGACGGGAATCTGTCCGCCATATTGACAACAGCAATGCGATTAGGGTTTAAGTAGGATTGTAGGTGATTTCTGGCTACTAGCGATGTACGTCGAGGTTGTTATGTAGAGATTCTTAGGAGAATTAACAATATGCAAGAACAAGTCTTGACGCTCTTGCAAGGCTTAAGTTGCAGCCTCAGGTACGAATGTTTTGTATGAAGTAGGTACAGATTACAGTTGCATGCATGGATCAGGACACAGTGTGTTCAAGGCGTTAGTTGCGTTAATTATCGAGATGCGCACTGTCCACGTCTTATCGTTCCAGGTACCTACTATTACCTAAGGTACGGATCTGTAAATTTACCTATGTAACCTAGGTACCTAGGTACCAAATTACCTGACGTTGATGCCTTGGAAAAAAGGATTGCAACTTCCTGTTGATATAATTGGTAAAAATAGCCCGTGTACAACGCTAATCACGTGCTCCAATCATCTAGGATCGACGGTATTATGTACGTTCCCGCTCATAGCTCCACTAACTTCCATTTAATGCATCTTACCTCTAACAACTACTTAAGCTAGATATCACAAAACAAAACAAACAAGCAGAATCAAGCAGCTGTCTGAATTGGTTCTTACCAACCTTACCGCCTTCTGCTTTGTGCTGGACTCGAGTTACTTCTCTTATCTCATGATATTTTGCAAGTAGGCTAGTCTACCTCTAAGCAATATCTGCGCGTCTCCAGCCCGCGTCAAGATGAAATCCTGGTAGCCAACTGTAGATTGATTCATCAAGTAAACTACATTCTAATTCACAGAAGATCCCAATCAATCCAGCACAAATCCCTACTCAAACCATCGATTCAACAAGTCGACATGGCTTACACCGACGATGCTGTGTTGGCCAAGCTCTCTGCCCTCTCCGAGGCGGCAGACAGCATTGTGTCCGTATCCCAGTGGATCATGTTTCATAGGTAGGCAAACTCGAGCACATGCCTATTAAGCAATCCGTGCTGCCTAGTAGATAATCACTGACTTGTTTGTCGGACATCAGACGCCATGCAGATCGAACAGTGCAGCTGTGGCTCCAACGACTTAAAGATTCTACAAGTCACAAGCGATTGAATCTCATCTATCTTGCCAATGGTAAGTGTTATCCACTCATAGGATCCCCTCCAAGCCGCCGTGCTTGTACCAATTGCCCCTGTTTCGTTGAAACCTGACAATGTTGTAGAGGTCGCACAGCAGACGAAAGCTCGGCATAGAGATGATTTCGTTGTCGCATTCTCTCCTATTATTGCGGAAGCCGTCGCCACCGCTTACAAGGGCGCATCGGCCGATATCCAGCAAAGAATCAAACGGGTCGTTGACGTCTGGAGAGAACGCGCTGTCTTCGAGACACCAATCTTAGAAGCGATAGAAGCTCGCGTCCAAGGTAAACCTCCGTTTCCTGATGACATATACAAACATCATACTAATTACCTATACAAAGAAATCAATGAGGCCCGCGGTACCGCTAAGGCTGGGCTGGGTGGCTCGATATTCGGATCTGCCTCCGTTCCAACGGAACTAGCCCCCCTGACAACTCCCCAGCAAAACGTGACGAAGCTACTTCTAAGTACAAAGTCCACGGTTAACACAGCCAATCAAGAATACGACAAATTATTGGGCCCTGGAAGCACTGCGCCTTCTGCCCCTGTGTATGCTGCCCGCCTAAGCGGATTGCTCAAGACACTGGCCCAGGCGGAAGGAGCAGTAGACCAATGTGTGAAGGCTCGCCGGGAGCTTGTTGCAGCTCTGCAGAAAGTCCTAGACAGCAACAGAAATGCACTAATATCTGAGGAAGATCAGCTGGAGACCTTCGTAAGACGAAGAATGGAAGTGGAGGATAAGAAGACTGAGGTCGAGAGAGCAATTATGGCAGGACTTCCAGACGACGAGCCTTACTTCAGCAATGGCCAAAATGATCATCCAGACCCAGAACCTGATAGACCAGAGGTTGAGGAACTCACACCACCACCTATGGAACCGGACTTTCCGGGAAACGTCGACATGACAGACACTACAGGTAGTACCCAAGAAACCACCGACCAACCGCCCACCGTGGAGGATGCCGACACTCACGCTAATCTCAGCGTCCAGTATAAGTCGGTGCCAACTACGATGAACGGGTCTAAGAAACGCAAGCTCGATGATGGCAATGATTTTCCCGACTTGGGAGAAGATGATGGCATCGACTCGGACGTGGCCGAGATACTTCGTAGAGACAGCAGCGGTTCGTAATCTTAGCAGCCATGGCTCGAGCTAATTTTGCACATGTCCCCCAGATGATAGAAGATGTTGAGCAGAGAGTAGAGACGAATCAATGTATGTTAATGCCAATTTTGCATTCTAGGGTGGCTCTTTTTGGTTTCTAATGCCAAAATCACACAAGCTTACTGTTCTTCTCGTTCACCAGGGATATACCGTCGTTTTTCTACTTGTGGTATAGGCGTATGACTGCAACCCATCAGGATAATTATAGTCCTTATTTTACCTACTCATAAAGCAGACACTGTATGTGGTCTGCGCCGATTTAGCCCTCGGAGATCCTTAATTTAATCCGACTATATCACCTTTCTACGACTGTATGCACTCCCGGTAATACATGTAATATTTTACGAAGCTAGCTTACTTGCCCTTTCTTAAGTATAGGAAAGTAGGTAGAATTCAAAATAACCCAGTTTGTTTACCAAACTACATATCTCGTTTACAAGCATCGCAAATCGCTGCACGCCTGCCTTTTAGGTATGTACTTAGGTACCTGTTAAGTACTTCGTATTTAACTCTGCACTAAACTTTACAAAACATAACAGACCGGAGTTGTGCCGACTAGGTAACTCTATGTGCAAGTACTTGGATGATGCATAAGCAATTCGAAGCTTCAGCGGTTTTAGTGAATTGCTCCGTGTAGATGACGGCATTCTTCCCAACTTTTTTTTTCTTTCCTTTTTACCACCGAGGTTGCCAACGAAACTTGCGCGGCAAAAAGAAAGAAAAGACAGTGAAGCTCAAGTCAGCTTCGCTTCGATGGTGCGAACCCTGCGCAAGGGAACACACCTACATTTATCCATGACGACTCGGCGAGAATAAAGCGCACAAGATGCCTTCGGGAGCATTGGGCCGCGCTGCAGTGGGAAGCTTCCCACAACGTGGTGTCGGCGTCGCAAAGAGCTTCTCCCACCAATCTGCCCTCTTACCATGCTATGTGCCCCCCGTCCTCTCTAGACGACCAATTGCTCCGAAATTTCCGTCACAACCGCTTTTTCAGATTTCTCCTACCGTTTTCAAGACGAGCTATCACTCATCTCGTCCCATCCGATCGCAAACGCCGCCAAACTTTCCTCCGAGGCTCGGCGTTACTTCTACTCCACGAATACAAATATCGAACTCGTCATGGAAATCGCCAATCGGTGTGCTGAGACAACTATCTACAAACCAACCGACCAGCCGAGAGAATCACAATGTGACTCTCCCGAGTAACGAAAAGAGGGACATCAGTATCGTTGCTTCAACGACGGCTAAGACTGTGGAAGACGTTGCGCAATCCTACGAGGGCTTCGGCAAAAGTGAGAAAGCTTCGAAGGCGGCTCAGGTCAACTTGCGCGCTCGTCTTTCCCATGATGGGAAAGATAGCAAGAAAAGCTCGGCCTCGGTTAACGAGATCTGGCGCCTCATCAAGATCGCGAAGCCAGAGGCGAGGAATCTTACTATTGCCGTGGTATTGCTGCTTATCTCCTCGTCTCTCTTCGTCTCACTCCCGCTAGTTGTCGGCAAAGTCATGAATGTGGCTACCGCGAAAGCTGCAGCGGATACAGAAATGTTCGGCCTGTCACTCTACCAGTTCTTCGGCGCTTTCGGCTTAGCTCTTACCCTCGGCGCATGCGCTAATTTTGGACGTATCGTCCTACTGCGAATCGTCGGCGAACGAGTCGTCACACGCTTACGATCGCAGCTCTTCAGGAAGACGTATAGCCAAGATGCCGAGTTTTTCGATGCGAACAGGGTCGGTGACCTGATTTCTCGACTCGGCACGGACACTATTATAGTGGGCAAGAGTATTACGCAAAATGTATCAGACGGATTAAGATCGATGGTGAACAGCGTTGCGGGACTCGCACTGATGGCCTGGATCAGCCCTAGTCTCACTGCCATTATCTTGCTCGCTGCCCCCTTCATCGGTAGCGCCTCTTTCGTGTACTCTCGCATCATCCGGAGGATCAGCCGAAAGATGCAGCAGAACCTAGGAACTCTTACTAAGATCGCGGAAGAACGCTTAGGAAATGTCAGGACCAGTCAAGCTTTTGCCGGCGAGGCCCAGGAGGTCCGTCGGTACAATAACCAGGTCAGGAAGGTCTTTGAGCTCGGGAAGAAGCAGTCTATATACGATGCGTCATACTTTTCTGGAACATCCTGGATGGGTAACATGACGATAATTGCTCTGCTCTGGTTCGGCGGAAATCTCGTGAGAGACGGTATTATGACAACTGGAGATCTCACTACTTTTGTTATGTACACTTTCTGGGCCGGTGGCGGTTTATTCGGTGTGGCCAACTTCTACTCAGAACTCATGAAAGGAGTCGGCGCTGCTACGCGTATCTTCGAACTTCAAGATCGAGACTCGGGTATCTCCTCGACTAAGGGTTTCAAAGTCACGTCAGCACAAGGACCTATCAAATTCGAGAATGTCTCTTTCGCTTACCCTACACGCCCTGCTGTGATGATCTTTAACAACGTGAGCTTCGAGATCCCATCGGGGACTAATGTGTGCATAGTCGGACCTTCAGGCGGAGGAAAATCGACCGTTTCGTCTTTATTACTGAGGTTCTACGATCCTACTGCTGGTTTTATCAAGATCAATGGCATGGATATTACCAAGATGAACGCGAAGTCGTTACGACGCCGCATCGGCATGGTATCCCAGGAACCAGTACTGTTTTCGGGCACGGTGGCCGACAATATCGCCTATGGAAAACCAAATGCTACGAGGTCAGAGATAGTAACGGCTGCGCAAAAGGCTAACTGTGGGTTTATTGCCGATTTCCCGCAGGGTCTCGAGACGCAAGTCGGTCCCAGGGGCGCACAGCTCTCAGGCGGGCAGAAACAGCGTATCGCTATCGCGCGAGCACTCATTAAGGACCCTGATATTCTCATCTTAGACGAGGCTACTTCAGCTCTAGATGCGGAATCCGAAACAGCAGTCAACCTGGCTCTGGCGGCACTACTCAAAGGCCGCAGGAGGACAACTATTTCGATCGCACACCGGCTCTCTACGATCAAGCGCTCGGAGAAGATTATCGTGCTATCTAACCAAGGCACAGTAGCCGAAGTGGGATCCTACGAGGAACTCAGCGCAAACCCGCACAGTGAATTCACCCGGTTGATGGAGTGGCAGATGAGCGGAGGTGAGATCCCAATCAAGGCACAAGGCCCCGCACTCTCGGAATCCGAGATAATCGAGGAAGAGCTCGAGGAGGATAACGACGAGGAGCTTGGTGAGGAAGAAGAGGAAGAAGCAAAACAGAAATCGAAGAAGTAATAGTCACGCATCTCATAAGCCATAGCACACATTTTTTGCATGAAAAACGGAACGGCGGTAGTGGTCTATTGCCATTTTTCTAGTTTCTTGCGTATTCAAGGGGGTTCTTACAATAAAAGAATTCGGCTCTTAGAGAGGGAAGGGGTCACCAAATATGAGAAGACATACACAGGCACGGGAGGGGTTTTTGGGTGATAATGAATGGACAACTTGTATGTATATGTACGTGTAAAGTAATGCGTCCAGAACTCCACTCGATTCAGGTAAACATACCACGACGAGGCATAAGCCGGACTCTATCCCGAGTCCGCGGATCCCTTGGATAGAAAGAAAGGAGAACGTTGATGACTCAAGGGGTTGGGCTTGTAGAGTGATACACCTACGGCATGATGAATAAAGGGGTGAAATGTACTTACTGCTGTGGTGATGCTGTGATTGTACGTATGCATGTGGATGTGGCGTTGTTACTACCGTTTGCTCAGTCCTTTCGAGGACTTTAATATGTGTATAGTTTATCACAGCGAGTTAAGTCATAATTATTTTCATTTTTTCTAGCTAGAGGGATTCTGCATGGAACAGACAACAACAATAGCATTGCGTAGTCCCGAATTACAGCGAGTTAAAGCATTATTGTATATTAGTAGAAGCAAATGATACTGGTTTCAACGTGGTGGAATATGGGCCGACGAATGTGCGGATCGGCTTTGGAACTTGGACAATATTTATATACTGTGGAAAGCCTCCAGTTGAGTGACTTTGTAGCCAATGTTATGATACGGTAATTGATCGATGACGTACGTCTTTTGATATTTACCACTGTTGCATTTAGGGTTGTAGGCAATTTTCTACGGAAGGGCTGTGCATATAGTTAGCATACAGTAATTATAGCCTCGGTGACGTGCTCTAAGATTCTAATTATCAGATGGGATTAACTAATACATAGGTAGGTAGCTAATCTTGACTTGACATCTATCAAGAACGTTCTGTCATCCTCCTTTCCGTTACTACTTGTAAACTAACACCGCAACCATTACTATCTTAGGGGTAAACACATAGCCAGCAGAGAGGTAACTCGAATTAAGTTCAACTATGTGGCCGTGAAATTACCAAACCCTATAAACCGCCACGGTTCGAGTAGACATTCCATCCTTTTCGTTGGAAATCTAGTTCCTAGAAACACAAGCTTCAGGTAAGAATGGCCTAACTATACGCGACTGAGCGCAACCTACGCTCGGATAAACTTAACTGACTGATATTGGGTTAATAGAAACTGAATTTTTATTTACGCAACATCGGCAGCAGATTAAACAAGTAGCTTTAACGCTCTAACCACAGACCACATACAGGTAAATTAAATACTAATCAGCGAATGCCACGAACAACATTGATATAGAGACTCATCTGATTGCCTTGGTACCTAATACGAAGGCTTTTTCTAATTACCTACATAGTATGAGAACATCCAATCACTATTCCCCGTAGGTAAATAAGTAGTGAATCATTACTTTCCGGTAAAGCAGAGCACGGGAGAATATTACAATTTATTTCGAGGGCTCTGTTTCTATTTGCTAAGCTTTGCTAGCCATGACTTTGAATTTTTAGCAATTCCCTCGCTATGGGCGTTACCACTGTTCGAGTCACGGAAATGATTCAGTCATCCGAAATTTTTGCAGCTAGATACTTTAGGTAAACGAATATCGTAGCCCCAACACATATACCAACGGTGAATTAAAATTTGATGGGAAACTTATATTGTATTGAACCTCTCTGTGATGACTCCAAACGACCTTATAAATAATCCAAGTCACCCAGTCCTTGGCCAATCCTCCATCCTCTTTCATTGTCACAACATCTTACATAGAACAACTGCGAACTAACAAGCCCGAGACTACTATTTCAAGACTCTGCTACTTCAAAGTTAACAACACTCAATTATCTCAGCAGGGCTATTCTTGCTATTGCTATTCGATTATCTTGCAAATCCTATCAACAATCAATATCCCACCAAAACTTACATACGACTTAAGATGTTGAAGGAATCTGTAGCAACCTTTTTTGACCGCTACCACCGCTACCCATCTCGAAGAGAGGGACGGATGGTGACTCCGGTTTTCGATATGGATTACACGTCCGTACCAAGGCACGGAGACGAGTAAGTATCTAACCCCGAAAGACACAAGAGAAATTTCTAACAATCTACTTAGACCTGCGGATATAACAATTTCGCTGCCCAAATCCGGGAAATCATGGCTAGTCCATAGAGGCGTAATTTCCGACCAAAGCAACTTCTTTCGAATGGCATTGGCCACTCCGTTATTAGTGAGTGCTGCTTTTCTTCGTTCTACTGACAGCATGCTAAGGGGAAGTAGGAAAGCAGGACCGATGAAATCAAGCTCGACGAAATTGATGACACGATAATGGAATTCATTATAAAATTCATGTATAAAGACTGTAAGTATCTCGCAATCTACTGCCCTCATATCGCCTTATATACAGCGGCAATACAGTTGCTAACTACATCCCACACAGGGTCCTCCGCAGCTACAGCAGCCTTTGGACTAGAAGACGGCGCCGAGGTGCCGCCGAGAAGCATCGCGGAGATCCTCATCGCCGCCGACTTCCTCGACATACCCCGGCTTTGCTACGCGGCATACCACATGATGCTGTCCGGGATGGCCAGCCTCGTGATGATGTCAAGGACGGAGCCGCTGTACTCGCACGCCTTGTACCTCGCGAGACACCCTTTTCTCTGCGCGGCGATTGTCCTGGAGAGAAGCAAAACGAAGGTCGGCATGGACTTGGCGGAAGGAATACAGAAATTAATGCTGAAGCTGGGAAAGGCGCGCCACTTGGAGCAGGCGATCAGGGCTTTTATAGACACTTTCCCGGACGACCACTCCATCATCGGCTTGGAGCTACAGTGGTAGAACCGTGGGGTTAAAATAGGGGAGTCGGTGTGGATGATACATACGGACGGCGCAATTGCACGGGTGGGTGGACAGTGATGATGATTATATGGACAGCGAAAATGAGTACGAGCTGCTTGTAGGAATTGGGTAATTCAATGAAATGTTCGGTGGTGGTATCTAGGTTAAAAGGTTGCTGAGTGAATAAATATATGTGCCATGACTGTCATCTAATCATTATGTTTTCTTAAAACGAAGCTCGTAACGTCATCCCAATCGCTCCCCGGCGGCCTCCATCTTCATTAGCTGCTCTCCCGTATCCCACCTCCCTAGTGTCTTCGCCGGAACAATCCCAACAAGCCACGGTTGCTATCCGTGCTCGTCCGAGGTGCTTTTTCCTTGGACGCCGTAGACGATCCGGATTTCCTGCGTGGCGTGCAACACGAGACGGCCCAGAATGCTAATGTCACGAACATGACTGCGAACGCCACCCACGAGACGATCATAAACTTGGTGCCCTCGACGGCGGAGATGCCGTACGCGCCGCCCCGGTCGTTGATCTCAGACGCGCCTCTCTTCGAGATGGCCGTCGCGATCGCCGCGCCAACCGCAAGCGACAAGGCGGCCAGTGCGCTAAGCACCATGTTGACAAGGATCGCTCCTCTCCCGATGGCTTCGCGTCTTAGCGTCAGGACGATGATGCACGATATGAAAGATAGGCCAGAGAAGCCGGCTCCGAGAACGTAGAGGATGAATGTTGCCAGCAGGAACTTGTTGACGTAGTCAAGGGTCTGCTGGATCGAGTCTGGGATCGGGATGTCGGCCGCGTTGATGTTCAGGGGGCCGGCATTGATCTCCTTCTGGATGATGTCGGTGAGATTGAATTGAACTGGAAGCAAGCGTTAGTTATATCGGCCTTATTTAGCTGGTAAAAGATATCAGTGTTCCTTACCTCCTGCGGACTGTGCCGTGCAGTTCGTCGTATTGTACCAAGCACCCGGTGAAGTGGCGTTGGGCGCAAAGTTGCCCTCGCAAGCAGTCATGACATGTATGCTATACCACTGAGAAATACCCAGTTCGCGAGAAAGTTGATCGGCGATATCATTTGCGATATCGTTTAACTCGTCTATGATTTGGCTTTCGATGTCGTCGAGTCCATCTTGGATATCATCCCAGCCAAACCCGTCGCCGCTGGTGGCCGTGGGTTGGGAAGCGGAAGAACTTGGAGTTGGTACGAGATCATGACCAAAGGTGGACATGTTAATCTAGAGACGTGGTTAACTTGAGGTTTTTGAAATATAGCTTATAGATTAACCTAGGGACATACAGCAATGATATGATAGTTTTCCATCGATCGTTGCTGCGATCCAGAGCCAGCAAAGAGCGCTATCATTGCCAGCACGAATCCCACCAGCGACAGGAGGGTCGGAATAACCACCATCAGTGGCCTGGTATAGCCGCGTTTTGCAGCCATATTTCCGTAGGTAGTTGATTGAGGTTGGATCAATTAATGCTCTGACAATCAGATAGGGGGTTTATATGTTAGTTGATTTAACAGATAAAAGGGGGAAAGTCTCAACTAGCGGGGTTCAACAAGAATTTAAACAACTAACTAATGAGAAGAACTAAAGCGTAGAACAAAGCTAGATGTAATCAAGTAACCTAGATTCAACTATTGCATTGTCGAATATACCTAATGGGCAATTCATGAATGTCGTACGTATGTAGTACTTAATATGGCTGTCGGATAGCAGCCTTGTACCATGTAATATATGTAATATAACAATGCATCATCTACCAAAAAACTCCGAAAGGCCACCATTCATTCGTCCGAATTCCATCTGTAAATTGAATGGTGCCGGGGATACCAACGCATCTTGGTCTGCTCTGGCAATCGAACATCTGCTCGGCTACGTATACGTACAATTGTACCTTGTCTAGTCTACTTCGAGACGATCTGAGTGGGCAATAAGTTGCGTCACGGAGTAGTTTTGCCTTCTTTAGTCCATGTCGGTCTCTATGATTGGCTGTCCATTAGCGTTGCGTCATAGGGGACCACTACAGAACCCACCCCCTGTAAAACCGGTTCGACACCTTGTAGCCAGTTAACCCCGGCAACCCAGTTGGTGATGTGTTTGTCATTGGAGACTAAATAGGGACTAAATAGTCCCAGCCACCACGGAGCGTCTTCTGAGAATAATCCGTAGCCATACGGTAATCTTTCTTGGCGGCCACTCGAAACGGCGTCGCAACTAAGAAGCGTTTAACAGAAATCAGAAATCAGAAATCAGAAATCAGAATTCAGAATTCAATTATAAAGATTTCACGGATTCTTTGAGCAGGGGCAATAATTGTATTCTAAAGTTAAGCCATTGGCCCTCTTGAATGTGTGAGATGCCTTTCATCTATAGCTACATCATAACAGCACCCCACGTCGCTGACTCTCTGCAACCGCCTTCTCACCGTCCGTAAGGACATCTTTCTCTACGGTGATCCAACGTCCCCTTCCCGACCGCTGTGCTCTAATATGCTTTTCTACTGCCGTCGCAGACTCGATCCAATCCGCAAACCGGAGGATTTGACCGCTTGATGAATAGTCTGAAAGGGCATACCCGGAACAAAGTCTCAATGTTGTGATTTTCCCCCAGTCACCCACCCAGTCAACAAAATCGACTGTGAAGTCTCCATCTGATTCTTCTCTCAATGCTGGGAACCAATCCCCACAACCGGTCAAATCGAGGTACTCTAGACTATACAAAGATTTGCTTAGACGTTTCAATACCAGTATTGCTTCCGACCAGTCGCCGTCTAAATTATGACTATATGGCCCGGTGCCGCCATATTGGACTGTTCTTCCAGTCAACGATGACGCCATCTTCGCAAATTTTGCATTTGGTGTCAAAGATGGTTCTGGCCAGCCAGACAGATCGAGGTGCGTAAGTGTTTGTAACTTGCTAGCTAATGAAAGTAGCTGCTTCCACGAAGCGGCGGGCGCATTTCCGGGCTCGACTGCGAGTGATAGCTGTGTTAAGTTTGGTAAGAGCTTAACCGGCCCGGAAACTGGTTCTGGAGCTTCCCACGATTCCAGAAGATCAAGCTCGACTGCGACTGGAGGATATAATAATTCGCCTAATTCTTTCAACGTCATTGACTTCCCAACCGAACCGCTTAGGTCCAAACAAAATATATCTCCGTTTAGTTTATCCAAATCGGGCTTTTCTACCTCGTATTGTGCGAGCTTCTCATCCGCGGGGCCAGCAAGGATCAGTCGCAGATCGTTGATAGACAGTCCTGGTTCATGAAGCTCCGAGAGACAACTGATCAAGGCTGCCCGCAATTGACTGGGTAGGGTATATAGATAAAATTGATTCCACTGCCGCTGCTGCTCCCAATCTAGAGCCATCCGTCGTATTAGCCGATCCACTAAACTGCCATCGGCGGGAGTGTAGATGCCCGGTAAGGGCCAGTGCTGAATATGCCCTCCAAGGTCTCTTCTTAGGTCTGCGGGGGCGTGTCGCGACTGCGCTAACGATGCCCAGCTGCGCGGTGGCGGCGGGCCTGGGGGTGGCCGTCGACCATGCGCATGGAGACGTTGAGGCCGTCGGGGTGCTGGGGCGGGTGTCTCGGGAATCTGGAGGATTTGGCGGATCGAAGGCGGAACGGTGGGAGTCGCTACGGAGAAGTTACTCGAGATGCCATTTTGATTTATGCTAGTCCGTCGCAAATCTGCGAGAATTTGGTTGACGGAACGTTCATGCTGATCTGCGCGATGGTTGTTAGGCGCGATGCACACATTCGGAGTTAAGGGATTATTAACTTACTGGAGGTGGTCCTCGACGACGAGGACAGCGCAAGTGATGGCGGAGCTACTGAAGGCGGTTTCGAGTATTTGTTATTGTGTCTTTTCTTAGGCATAACAGTTGAGGATGGGATAACCCTATCTCGACTGTTTGCGAAAAGAAGAAGTCGCAAAAATTGAGAGGAGTGTCAGCAAATGAAGTAAAATCGACCCAACGGCGCAAGAATTGGAGATGATTTGATTGACTCATCGGAGATTATGTAATGAGCCGTACATTAAACCCCTGTGCCTTCACTCCGCCCTCCGCCCTTCCTTCCAGAAACCTACAGGCTACGGATTCGTTCCATCATACCTGCCCCGTTTACTCAAGTCTTTGTCATAAATTGGTTTACCTTCATATTAACTTTATTCGATGTCATAAGACTCTTATAATTTCTATACCTGAGGAGAACAGAATGTAAACTTGACAACGCTATAGAAAACAAACCGTCTCAATGCACACCACAATATCTGGATTTTACAATCTTACATTGTTATTCTACATTATACATTCCTTATAGTTATATCAAGAGATAACTCCTCCATTGACTAGAGAAACCATCCAATCACCATTCGTGTGAAATCATAATAGTAATTTAAGAACAACTCCTATAATTAGTCGAAATAAGAAACAAGCTATCGTGCTACCTCTTGATAGGTGATATGTTAACAGTTACGATACTCATTTATTGAGCTTTTACTTTTATCTAACCGCTTAACGATCTAATACCGGTGCGCCTTTCCATGGTTTTGGATTTAACACATCAGGGACATTGCGAGGTAGTATTAACAGACGAGTAGGCTCTTTACCGCCCTGCCACAACATTTAGGACTCCGCCGTCTACCGCGATGATCTCTCCGTTCACATATTGGTTCTTCGCGAGGTATAGTATCGTCATTCCCATTTCTTCCTCACGTCCGGCTCTCATGAGCGGGACGTGGCCTTTATCTTGAATCTCCTCTGGCGACACATAGCTCTTTTGTTTATCATCACTGCTCTTAGCGGTCACTGTAGCAAACTTGTTAGCTTGCCCGTCATCGATACTAACCTGGTAGGATAAAGGGGTAATAGATGGAAGCTCGGAAACAACTCACTTTCGCTAGGGAAATATCCCGGCGCAATGGAGTTGACTCTAATTTCGGCCTTTTGGAACTCTGCGCTCATAAGCTTTGTCAGGTGCACCGTGGCCCCCTTGGCCGTGTTATAGCTGAAGTGGCCTTGGGCATGTCGCATGATACCCGACATAGAAGAAATAGTAATTACAGATGGGGCGTAAGGCTCAAGGGGACCTTTCGGACGGATGCCTTGCTGTAGCAGCGGAAGGAAGGCTACAGTCGTAAAGTACACCGCGGTGACATTCGTGTTGAAGTTATCGTGCCAATCGCTAGGATCCTCATTATTCCAAAGCCTAGCCTTGAGGTCTTCCGCGTCGGCATCCTTTGGTTCAGCCTTCGGACCCGAGATGCCAGCGTTGCACACCAGGAGGTTGATGTACTTCTCGCGCTTGCTCAGATCCGCAACCAGCTTCTCTAGGTCGTCCTTGCTGGTCACATCGCACGGCCCGATCGGGATGATCTGCCCGCTGCTCTTGGCCGGCTGGTGACTTTTTGCCGCCTTCTCAAGAACTTCCTTCCGCCGGCCGGTGATGTAGACTTTGGCGCCGTTCGCAGCGAGTGCCTGGGCGGCCATTAGCCCTATCCCGGACCCGCCGCCCGTGATTACTACAACATAGTCTTGGACCCCAAAGAGCTTGCTTGCATCGAATTGGTGCGTGTCGGCCATAGTGAGAGGTGGGCCGCGATGATGATGTATAAGTGTTAATACGTAGTTCTAGAAAGGTCTGATGGATAGATGGGTAGTATAATTCGATTTGAGAAGGATTAATCTTAGGATAATTAAGTCTTCCCGTCACGGTGAAGTCAAGATAATGCTTCTTTGAAAGTTTATACTAGAAGTGTGCCTCTTATATCGCGATGAGTGGTGACGTAACTGTACCTGGAACCCACGTGTAGCAAGGATCAGATCAATGCATAGGGGCGCATCTGAGCTTTAATGACGCCTATTACAACTCTTCCACTGATAAAATTATTTCAAAGAAGTAATTATACTTATAACATTGATTTATAAAACCTGAGGTAGTTTATTCAATGCGATGTGTTCTTGTGAAAGGATACCGGTATGTTATGCTAGTATCATTTTTAAACATGATTGACTTTCTGAATCTTATAAGATCCATATCTCGAAGTGTAGGGGGACTACGCATTTGCAATTAGCAAAACATCTGTACAAATAGAATAATAGAATATAAAAATAATAGAATATAAAACGGCATGACGCACCGAGATACACAAATAAGCCAGCTTCCCCTTAACATACACCACTATCAACAAGTACGCCACTTCACAACAATCGCGATGTAGCTGTGGACACTTCCAACATCTTGTATCTGCATATAGCTGTCAAATACCTATGTAGCAGTGCACTTATTTACCGACTGTTCGATCTAACATTAGTAAGTACCTAAAGTACGCCTTTTTGACCTCCAAGGTGTACACCGATGTATGGTTTCAGGACTGAGAAGATTCAAATGTTTTCATCAGCGCTAATCGCCTTCTTATTCCCTGCTTCAATCACCATTGCAACGGCAGACTGCTCATAAGTGTGAGTTTCGTCTTCGACACCCAGCATGCAGGCGTGCTTGTCACACCGTGGGGGATCTGCTGCAAGTGCCGAGTCCGGCACCGTAAGCTTGGATGAATTACCGCGAAAGCCTGCGCGGCACCCTGCTTGCAAACGCAATTGCACGGATCGAGCCGAAGAGTGTGAATAGCGTACATGTCGGGCGTGGGCTAAGCCTCATCGATGTCCTTGCAGGTGTTGAAGGGTTATCGGAGATAAGGCCACGGCCCAGATGTGTGACCCAACCAAGTGCGTTAATGTCCTATGTAGTTTCTGTGTAGTGTATAACATGCAGTGTTAAAGGGAACTGAGGTGTAGCCTGTGTTAGTTAAGGAAAGCAGAAGCATTTATTTATTTATACTTCCTTTTAGTTGCTAGATAACTACTTGAAAAACCTATTGACATGTTGAGTTCTTAAACACCATTCTTAGGCTTTTCCCTTAACCTAGATATTTACTCTCCCCTATTACCCCTTTTTATTCTTCCAACCGAATACTTGATGTAAAACGTGCCTATAAGTCATGTCTGCCCAATCGAAACAGAACAGTCTCAACTTACTGGCTATCAATATCGTTCCGGGACCTTTTATGCTGCTGGCAGCCGTGTGCATAGTTCTGCGTTTCGTTCATCATCACCGGAAGGGAAAGATTCGGTGGTACGATTGGGCCATCTTGGCAGCATTCGTTACGGGCGCTGGGGCATATATTTCTGGCCTTGTATGTGCCTTTGCAGGTTATCGCATCGGCGAGTATACGATTTCGCAGATGAGTACATGTGCAAAGGTGGATTTACCTGTCTTCCATCAATAAACGAAAACTGATAGTAACAGGTGGGCCTCGCGGGCGAAGTTCTCTATACGGTCAGCGTTGCCTTCTCCAAGATCTCGGGCTTGCTATTTTATAAACGCTTGTTTAATGTCGATACGCAATTCTTGCTGTTTACACGCGTCATAACAATCCTCGTCGTAGAAGCTTGCTTCACCTACACTTTCGGTCTCATCTTCATTAATACCCCGGCAAAATCACGGTGGAATACGCCAATAAACGCTATGGCCTTCTATGTAGCTATGGGTACTATCAATATACTCATAGACGCAGTTATCATAGGCTTGGTCCAGCGTATAGTATGGAAGTTACAGATGCCTTATCGGCGTAAACTTTGGATATCTTTTCTATTTCTCCTACCTATATTGTATGCACTAGACAGTTTCTATTTATTGTTGTATATTTACTGAATTAACCACGCTAACTTATTCAGATCTGTTGCCTTTGGTATTTTACGCGTTGTCTATACCGGCACCATGAACCCGGAAAATATTACATGTAAGTTAATAGAAAGATTCAAACTGTTGATAGCCCGACATTCGCGTAGCCAAACTAATAGTTTCCCCTCAGATACCTTGACGCTTGCTTGGCTATGGGCGACTCTGGAGCTTTTCTTATATATCATCTGCGCTTGTTTGCCCATCGTCTATAACATCTACCGCTCAATATCCCCCAGCCGTTCCAAGAATGACTCATGGAAGACCAAGGAAATACTTTACCCCCAGGTGATGCCCGGCAATAACCCTCTTAAAGAAAAGAGAAGCAAATATCACGAATTAGACGAGGAATCGTGTGATTTCGACGATATAAAGAAAATACACAGCACGGAACCTTTGGTTTTTCCGGAACGAGTTTTATATCCTAAGAACTATAGCCGTCTCGGCATCCAAGAAAAGGACTACGCAGCGGACCAGAGGTATATTGGTATAGGTACTGTATAATGCCACCCGTCCGTTTAAGATGGCTCTCGAGGGGTCTCACTTAACGTGGACGCCACTGAATAGCAAGGGAGACTGAGACTGAGTAAGTACCGCTTTACTAAGACCACTTTAGCACAGAGCGAACTAACGTAGTCTTAGATGACCTGATAGACCATCTCTTGATCAGAAAGCTACTTTCCTTAAAAAGAGCTTATTGTGATAGGCGCCGGAATAGAGGGGTTAGCTATCCGTCTTGTGGAGGTAATGGGCTACAAGGGCGTGGGCTAGTAGGACCAGTATGACTATACCAAATCCCATTAGTTTTCTTTGGCTAGTTATGCCAAAGGGAAGTTTTATAACGACCTTGTAAAAAGGAATTCCTGAGATCTTGTCGTCTAGAAATTTGACCTGGGCTATTATATTAAGGTATCTTAGGGCTTGAAAGTAAATTTGTATACATTGCTATATAAATTGATACAACTATCGCACCCAACTATACTGCTCAAGTCCTTAACAGGGACCGCACTGCGCCAACACTGATCTTCAAACATGGTGCCTGTGGATATATACAAAGGTATTTAATATTGCAGGATTCCCCCTAACAGGCTTATCTCTCTTACAACTTCGCCACCATCTTGGTGCCTTGGTTCAGCATTGCCGTGGCGTCCTCAATGAATTCATCCACGATGGCCTTTGCACTCTTCTGTTCGTTCACCAGCGCAGCACACTTGCCCATCAAGTAGGGCCGGAACTGGTCCATCAAGTCGTCTGCATCCTCTTCGCTTTCGCTCTCCTTGCCCGAGCCTTCGCCCGTGCCGTTCGCCACCTTCTCTAGGTCGTGCTCGTAGGGGAGGATACCCTTGGCAGTCAACTCCTTGATCTCGGCTTGGCGCTCTGTCTCCCAATTCTCAATGTATGGGTTCTTCCGCACCCGTAGGGGCCGTCCAGTGAAGATGAGGGTTCGGATTGTGTCGTTGAACCCGGCAGTTCGCACCGACTCCTTATGCGATTCAGGCGCTCCAGCCTCGTCGGCTAAGATGAAACGGGTACCAACCCAGACGGCGCCCGCGCCCATCATTAGCGCGGCGGCCAACATCTGACCGTTATGGATACCACCAGCGGCGATGACTTCGACCTGTTTGCCGGATACCACGCTCTTTTTTCCTTTGCAAATCTGCACACACGCCGGAATCAGGACGGTGGTCGGAACATCTCCAGTGTGGCCACCACCCTCACCACCCTGCGCACAGATGATGTCACAGCCAATGTCTAGCGCTTTTTGGACATGCTTCGGGTGACCGACCATGTTCATGTAGTAAATGCCATGCTTGTGTAGCTTGTCGACGACGGCTTTGGGTGGTACACCGACAGCGGAGACGAAGAGTTTGGCTCCCGATTCGATAACGACGTCGATTAATTGGTCGAGCTTTCCTTTCGTGTAATCGTAGCTACATTTTAACCGGATTAGCTTCTGTCGCCGTGTACAAGAGAAGACTCTATGGTCAAGGCTTACTTTGTTTTGCGGGCCTTGCCACCAACCTGTGGGAGTAGCAGATCGATGCCGAATGGCGCATTCTTGTCATGGAGATACGATTTCAACTCGTTAATTTGCTCCCTCAACATGTCCGGGCTATAGGACATGCCTCCGATAACACCGAGACCGCCGGCATTCGTGACAGCAGCAGCGAGCTTCGGGCCGGCTGCGACGTTCATTCCGGCGAGAAAAATAGGGTGATTGATCTTGAACAGATCGGTGACGGGAGTTCGGATTCTCTCTGTAGGATCACATCTTGTCAGTGCTTTGCTCATGAATACATGTAGGTATAGGTAACATACGTGGTGATGCCATCTTGACTGTTTTGGGTGGTAATGTAAAATTGTAGAATATGATAAGATGAGGAAGACGCTTCTTTAGCTTCAATGTTATTCTATATCAAGAAATCTGGGGTAGATTAAGTAGTTAGAGATGCAAATACTAAAAGGGGGAAAGTCTTGGTATCGGCAACAAGCGCGGCAATGGGAATAGTAATAAGAACGGATGGAGATGTGAAAATCGGGGTATATTCAGGATTTGGTACACGATCTCCCCAAAGATTAGAGCTGGGGAAGCCGAGGCAATAGTGTATTGAATGTTAAGCATTCGGGGTCTAGTCCAACCCGAACCGAGGCTTCCACTTTTTAGCACTTTTTAGCACTTTTTAGCGTTACTACCTAATGTATTAATTATGTACATACCTCATATATACAGGTAGCCCGCATCTTCTTCTGATGGGTGAATGCATCTTTGTGATAGGGTGAATCATGAAGCATGTTGAATATTGACGATAGAGTCACTTCAACATACCCTACTTCTAAAAAAATAAGAAAAAATAAAGACGTTATAGATAAGAGCTGCCGCCACTTCGTCATTCCAGTAAACAAAAAATCTTTATCAGACCTATAAGTTTACCTACATGCATGTACCTAGCACAGCATACAAGTGAGTCCCTACCTCCATGCATGTATGTACCTAGGTACGTACTTTATGTAGACCCGCATGGATATAAGATAAGATAAGGAAATACAGTACGTACTGCTAGGAGGTACGTATGTACATAGTATCAATAATCAGGGGTCCGGGGTCCGGGGTCCGGGGTCCTTGTGGAACTTTCAAAATTTCCGGTCAGCTCCTTCGATTCAGGTGTAGTTCGAAAAGTTGCTTACCTTGATGCACAATTGTCCAATGAGGCAATTAGGTTGCGAGTCGACACCTCGTCCTAAATTTTAATGAGCCTTCTCTCATCAGCATGGAGCTATACATATCGGTATGCTCGAGTGTTGCCATCTCATGCTAATCTAGTCTTTCCGCTGAGCGATTCACTTCGTTTTCATTCTATTTATTCTCAAAATCGGATCATCCCTAAAAGAAAAATAATGGACCGCCAACTCTCAACCAGTCCGTCCAGTAAATCATGCGGTTGCGCAGAACGGCGCCGTGGTAAGCGGAAAGCTTACGTCGCTCTGGGCAGCAATGTTGGCGACCGGATATCCATGATCGAGCAAGCATGTAAGGAGATGGATTCAAGAGACATCCAAGTAAAGAGGACCAGCAGCCTCTGGGAGACCGAACCTATGTACGTTCTAGACCAGGATAGGTTTGTGAATGGAGCTTGCGAAGTACGTCTTAGTTTCCATCATTCATGAATCTATGCTGAATAATCTTCCTCAGGTAGAGACGGATCTAAAGCCCCTATCTTTACTAGACCAATTGCAAGATATTGAGAAGTCTATGGGGCGACGTAAACTTATAGACAAGGGACCTCGAAACATTGACTTGGACATCTTACTTTATGAAGATGAAATAGTTGACCATGAGAGACTTAAAATTCCTCATATTGGCATCCAAGAGCGTGAATTCGTTCTGCGGCCTCTCGCCGAACTTATACCGCATAAGTCTATAGACCCCTCCAAACCCTGGAAGCTCATACAAGACTATCTCAATGAGCTACCTCCATCTGCGGAACCTCTGTCTACTTTGACCCCAATATGCCCCTTAGTAGAACCGTTGAATGCCCTCAAGCCAACTCGGAAGACACAAATAATGGCCATTCTCAACATAACGCCCGATTCATTTTCGGACGGGGGGATTCATACCCCTGATTCACTTAGAGACACAATTATGGCCTATGTTCGAGGAGGAGCCACAATCTTTGACATTGGGGGCCAGTCTACTGCACCAGGGAAGCTTGAGGTCAGTGCTCAAGAAGAGGAGGACCGTGTCATACCCGTTATCAAGCTCATTCGTAGTTTTCCCGAGACACGCGATGTCGCTATTAGCGTAGATACATATCGAGCATCAGTTGCCCAAGCAGCCGTCGAGGCCGGCGCAGATATAATCAACGACGTGTCAGCAGGCCTTTTGGATCCGGATATGTTCTCTACAATGGCCCGCTCGGGCAAGACGGTTTGCTTGATGCATATGAGAGGAGACCCCAGTACAATGAGCAAACTGAACGACTACCCTGATGGACTTATCCCAACTATCGCTAGAGAGCTACTTGAGCGGGTAGCGGCAGCCGAAGCAGCGGGAATCCGTCGGTGGCGCATCATCCTTGACCCAGGACTGGGATTTGCCAAGGTAGGCGAGCAGAACCTACACATCCTACGTCATTTCGAAGAGCTACGAAACTGGCCCGGATTAGAAGGCCTGCCATGGCTCGTAGGATCCAGCCGCAAGAGCTTCATTGGTAAGGTTACCGGCGTGCCAAAGCCAATGGACCGAGTATTCGGCACGGCAGCAACCGTCGCCACGGCAGTCCAGGGCGGTGCTGATATAGTACGTGTCCACGATGTCGTTGAGATGAGTCAGGTAGTTAAGATGGCAGATGCCATTTGGCGATACTAAGTTCACAATTACGAGATATTCTAAGCGCGAAACGATCGTAACTAATCCTCATGAATTCATTCGTTCAACAATCCTTTCTCCTTTCTCTCTCTCCCCCCCCCCCCCCTTTTTTTTTTGGTTTGTTCATTTTTTTTTTCCTTTTCCAACCCCTTTTTCGATACTCAAGCGTTCCATATGCGAGTCCCTGTTCATGCGAAATCAACGTATTACTTAACCGAGTGTCCTGTAGATGATGAACTAGAACATCTCCCGGCGACTTAGGGTGTTCGATCCCCTGTCCGAAACACTCTAAAACTCCACGGTAGCAGCTGGGCCTTTCACTCAGCCTTCTCCTTCCCTTTGCCCTTCTCCTTGGCCTTCTCCTCGGCCTCCTCCTTGGCCTTGGCCTCGGCCGCCCACTTCTCCAGCAGGGCTATCGCCTTGCGCTCCTTTGCTGCTTCGGCCTCCTTATCAAGCTTTTCCTTGAAAGTTGGGGTTATCTTACCACTTGGAATGAGCTCGGATCCCTGACAAGACCCTGTCACCATCATCTGGACTATCTCGAGGCTGTTTTCGTCGTTGACGCATGCGTCAATGACGTCGTCTGTCATGGCCAGGATGGTCTCGACAACCTTGACAACTGTACGTTCGCTCGCGACGAACCGGCGTACCTTGGCGAGGATGACCGGTTTTGCCTCATGGTAGTTTTTCGTAACATCCTCTAAAGCTACTGCGTAGAGGGTATGATCGCGCTCCTCATCACCAGACGGGACTTGGGGCAGTGTATCACGTATGACGCTCTGACACGGTCCCGCTTCGGATAACATGAGCGGGTGTTCAGTCTCGGTGTCCAGATCGTCACGACTGTGGGTTTCGTGGTGTAGCTCAGTGGGTTGATCAAAGGATCCAGTGGGCGTCGATGGCCCAATAATACCAACGGGACGAGGACGACGTGGTAAGCCCATGCGATGAGGGCTGCCGACGAAATTCGAGGAGCTCATATCCATCTCAGCCTCTCGGATGCTTGGTTCACTAATATCAGAAGTGCCATTGACAGCACTGTCAGGGTTGTTGGAACGTCTAATAGGAGACGAGGTGGCCGGATTATCGGGGTCGTTGGCATCATCAATGTCAGGATTAGGAATGGGCTTTATTGAAACCTCCCCCGTTCTGACTTGCGACATCATATCGTCGAGTTGCAAAATCTTTTAACATAGTAGTTAATTAGTACGCTTCGATTAACAGTTTGGTGTTATCGTATTCGCTGGGGCTAGGTGGCAGGGGGCTACCTCTGAGAGAAAAAGCACTTACTTTCTGACGAAGTATGCGGATGAGGATCTTCGGATTCTCGCTATCTTCACCAACCTCTTGAGTCGCGCCAGTGCCGCCGATCTCATTAATCTTCTCCGGAGCTTCCATATTGTTGTTTTCATCCTTGACGGGCGCGTCGTTCTTCACGTCGTTCTTCACGTCGTTCGAGGACGTGCCCTCTACGGACCCTCGGAGAATTCGTGGTCGTCTCACGTTGCGTTCCCGATTGAAATCAACTATGAACGCCTTGTCAGGCACCAAGATCTTCCAGGCCTCCTCGAGCATCATGTGTTCTCGAGCGATGTAGGCAGCTACAGGATCGTCATTAGGATACTTGGGTAGCGGTTTCAAATTGCTCATAGTAGCTGATGGGCGTAGGCGGGGAGGGGAAACATCTCCACAGCTAGTCTCTCTGAGATCGCGAATATTAACTGCTGACGTACTGGTCACCAGTCTGTACGCCCCTGGGCGACTATAGTTGACCGGTCTAGCGGTCTCAACCTGGATGTTGTTGATGGTAACATCTTGAAGCGAATTTGTAAGTGAATGTGAATCTTCATCGACTGGAGGATCGTTGCCACCGGGGGCTTGGTTAGAGGTTGTCTCGTTGACAATGGGGGCTTGGTTAGAAGCTGTCTCGTTGATAACGGGAACCGGGGCTGCGATGACTTCATTCGTGGTCAAGGCAATGCCAATAGGCAATGTAGTCAAGTCAGGAGAATGTTGCTGCAGTTGCAGACTTTCTCCCTCGTTGCTACGAGGGAGTGTCACCATTTCGAAGTCCGGTAGCTCGAACCTCTTACGGCGGCCGCAGCAGGTGGACATACAGTTACCCATGATGTATGTATGTGAAGGTTCCTCGGGAAATAACTAAATGAACGGAAATCGGGATCAAGTCAAGGCTTCGATAAAAGCAGAATATGCCAGCACGAAATCAAAGTGACGAGGAAGGGAATTTATAAGAGTGTGGACTCATCGCCTAGGGAGCTTGGTTGTAATGACCACGAGGAAAGAGGCGAGGGGTAGGTGAAGGTAACGAAGTGAATGGGTTTGTGTAGTTTCAAAGTGTGGAAACAAAAAAAAAGGAAGCAGCACGCATGAGTTGCGAATTTTTACAATGCTTGGTTTGGCCTGAAAATTCCGCTCAATGAGCCAATTCTCGGCATGCGGCTTGCGAGGAAGTTGTCTGCGGCCGTGAAGCCGTCACTAAGTTCGGACCCTAGAGCCGGCTTGCAAGGTACCCGGAGCGGAGCGCCGAGTTACACTAGGACTACCTCCGGACATGGCACGGTCTGAACTAGTACGGTCTGGCCAATGGGATTCCGGGGTTGTCGGCGGTGTGGACTCACGAGAGCTTATTCTTGTTTACTTGCTCACGAGACTTAATTCACTGATTACTGGTCTCATCTGAGCGAGTTTCGGGGCTTTGTTATTCAATACAGGCTACACAAAGGATCCTCGAAATTGTTTGTTGTTTGCTGACCATGTTTGTTGTACGGAGAGACGGTATATCAACTATACAAGTCGAAGCATATGATGATTCAGGGGCTACGTAGAGGGGTTGCGTAAATGGGGTTACAGCTTCGACAATTGGGTTTAAGCATGATCAATATTAAATTAACCTTGTTATTACAGAACAGCAACAGATATAAGTGACGGTTTCGAATATACATAAATACATAAATGATATTATTAGTTATCCTATCACGGTCTGACTGAGCGGTGGGCTGGGAGGCCTTGATCTTAAAAGTAGTAGAAACTGGGACCTATTGTATATCATTTGCAAGGAGACGAAAATATCCTGGCAATATTTTTCTTTTTAAAAAAAGGTATTGCAGAATGTACTTGAGCGTTCTGTTTTATAAGAAGGTGATAAGTAGTGAACTTTGTCTCTGTAGAGCAATACACTGGTTTTTTCTCACGCTATGGGTACGAGTTGGGTTATTCGGTGTAGAGAACAGGCTATTGCACCAAAATAAGTACCTAAGATCGATTTTTTTTCACGCCTCATTTGATATTGGTAGTTTCATTGTAATCTATTTAGGTGGCAACCATATTCTGTTAATTTTGTCAACAGACTTGCCTACCTCCCCCGTAGAACTACAATTCAACACGACCTATTTACGGCTATAATAAATATGGCAACGCTCCAACACCCATGGTCGAACGTGACGACCGTTCTTAATATCCCCGTTTAAGTGCATTTTATCATACTTAGGTTAGGTAGGTAGTTATACGTCAACCCTTGGGGCAGCATCGGGACAGAATAATAAAGGGGGGAGCAAGAAACAAGAGCACGACTATAATAAAGCATGAAGAATTATCCAGCTAAGTAGGTAGGTATTTAAATCAAGACTACCGATATAGCTATGTACAAGACCTTTATCCTAGCTTCCTCGGCAATCTAGGGTTCTAGACGCCCGTTCTTAACCTTTCCGTTCAGGTATGTCTTATTGTTGTGAACAAGAACCCTCGAGACAGCGGCAAATTAGAACAACAGAAGACAAGAAAAGTATTCGGTGTTAGAGACAACTAACCTAGGTGCATAAAGAGCTGTGACTACCTAGCTAATGAGTATTCTAGGCGATGGCTAGCTTGTATAAGTTAAGCGTTTAAAAATTAAATCTACCTATGTTGGGCAGTTCGCATATTACTCTCGAAGCTTCTGATATCAGCTCGGGCAGTGTTTCTTACTATCTATCTACTTGTAATGCCATGTCAAGCAACAGTTAAACGTTAGATTATTTAGTTCTAATCGCGTATAATTAAATAACACCCATTTCTATTATTATAAAGGTTGCATAGGGCCTAGAAAGCCTTAAAGGGAGTCAATACCAGGTCTTATGGTGCTGAGGCTCGTAGGTACAATAGCTCCCACTACGCAAATGGACGGTGGGTGGGCGGTGGTGATACGATATCTCACTTCTTGGCCCAACGACTCGGGAGCTCCCTCGCGGCAGCTAATGCCGTGCTACTTCTACTTCCTCTTCCTTTCCCATCTCCCTTTCTCCGTTAGCGTGCCTACATTTCTAGCATCTCAGATCCCAGATATCCCAATCCAAGGTCGACTCCAGCAAACGACACAATACTCTCCGCCTTCGACACTCGGTAGTCTTCAAGGCCAGTCTCCCGAAACAGAGACCTATCTACCCGTCTGTCTGTCCACCTGTCTCGTCTCGCATACATAGCCTTGGTCCCGGATCCTCTGGAGAGAAAACACTAGCGCTGTGCGACTATGGGGGCTGATGTCTCGGGAGTGGCGTGGCTTGGCCCCTATGCTACAGCAGTAGCCTACGCGTACGGGGTATAGCGAGATGTAAATATAGATCTAAGTATTCCAATGCCGTCTTCGCCCGCATGGCGATCTTGGGGGCGGTCCCGGCCGATATTGAAGATTTTGCTGATTTGGCTTCTTAGATGCTCTACACCTCTCTCCTTTATCTCTCGCCTAAACCCTTCACATGTGAAATTCGCCTGCTTTATCTATTAGATTCCCACTTCGGGAATCTATTTTTAGCCGCCTTGTCCAACACACCTCTCCACGTTGTCACTCCCTTGCCGTATAGGGTCTGCTCAAGTGCACGTGTATAGATACCTACCTATGTATATGCATTTAGTTAGGGTTAATGCATCATAGCCTAACAGCCCTTACACCCAGCCTTACCTACGCAAAATCCGGGTTCACCGCATTCTGACGGCCCCGCCTCAATATGTCTTCGCCTTCGCCTTCGCCTTCGCCTTCGCCTTCGCCATCTAGTAGCTATAACGTCTAGGATTCAATTGCAGTATGGCCTTTCTAAATGTCTTATATAGAACCTTAGTTGCGATTTGTATATCTATACTTGCCGCGCGCCATCACGCCATCTGGCAGTAGAGAAATCCTAGAGACATAGCAGAGCCTGAGAATGCGATCAAAGCCCGTTACGCTTAGAGAAAAGGGGTACACTAGATAAACAACTTATAATGCTCTATCCAGGGGTAGATATGTGAGGTCTAAAATACATACGTATGTCTTAACATGAACCAGCATGTTAAGGTAGTATGAACCAAATTTACCATCTCTAGATGATAATATTCTTGTTGGATCTCCTGATGAGTTATGTAAAACCAGACACCTAAGTCGTATTTGCTTTTCCCTTCTCCACACATCGAACCAAGATAAGTCACGAGAAGCTCCTAGGACCAGCGTAGAACAAATCTCGGTACCACTATCAGATCATAAACGGCTTAGCATATTACTCGAGAGCCACTATTCGTGTTAGATTCTAGGTTAGTAACATGAATGATACCTAAGTCGAGATTTCGCCCCGTAATGTACCAAACTTGCAAACTGCAAACTGCACACTGTCTACAGTGAGGGAAGATGAGGTAAGAGGTGGGTAGGTTATGTACCTTGGATAATCAGATTGTACCCAAACTAGGTGAAAAGAAAAAAAGAAAAGAAAAAAAGAAAAGATCCGGAGTTAGACTCGGGAAAATCAACAATACAACGCAGATAAAATCTGCGTCCCGAATCAAGATTTACATGTAAAGAAGGCTCTAGGAACTCCGGATGGCACACATTTTCGTCATGCGAAAGCCCGTATTACAGCAGCAAATCTTCAGTGATCTGCTGCTAGGTACCTACCTAGGCTACCTACCTTAGGTACCTAGGTAATCCTGCAAGCCACGAAAGCTCCCCTTAGAAAAAAAAAACCCTGCTTTTGTGACACCCCGCGCTTACTCGGCTTGACCTTCCCCCAACTTGACAGAAACTAACAGCAACGGAGAAGAGTCTAGAGTTACACGGGCGTTTATGTTGGTTATACTGTTGGTTACACTGTTAGCTACACTGTTAGCTACACTGTTAGTCGAAAGAGTCCCTTTATCACGTAATCTTTTGAATATTGTAACCGTGGGGAAGCGTCATGATTGGACGAACACTACCCGGCCAATATTTGAATCATTGGCGGCGGTGTAGATAACAAACACCACATGCCCTCTTAGCCTCTTAGCCCCTTAGCCTCTTAGTCCCTTAGTCCCTTAGTCCCTTAGTCCCTTAGCCTCTTAGCCTCTTAGCCTCTTAGATAAGTGGTAAGCTTTTGCTTGCTGACGGCAGTTATGGCGGATCCTCCAAGGTAGTGGATTAAGGTAGTTGGATTAAATTGAGTGCATGCTTGGTAATTGTCCCCTACCGATCGGCATTTCGCTTGTTGATTGGCTTAAGGCGAGCTTCCCTAGGGGGAGCTTCCCTAGCGAACATGATCTGTCGAATGTCACCCCGTAGAAAGGTGGTTTAATTTGCAATTGGCAATTGGCCCTTGGCTCCCAAACAATTACACCCCGGCACGAACTGTACGTGCTGTGTGTGTACCTCTATGTAGCATACCTAACCTACATGTCGTCGGGAGACAGGCAAATGTGCCGCAAATATGCCGCCCCCGTGTCGCAAGAAGCGCGGCGCAGTGGTTTGTAGTACTCGAAATGCGTTGCACAGAAGGGCTCAACGAGATAACATGCCTACATGGTCCCCCAATCCTGTATGTGTACGGCACGGTTTTTCGTACGACAGTATTTGCATTTGGTACCGCTCCTCCCCACGGTTGCAAAAATGACCTGTCATATTTTTCGATTTAGACGCAAACACAGTGCAAACTCTGCATCATACCAAAATAAAACACATGTGCCTTCACTAAGGGAGTTAGACCGACCTATCATCTCCATATCTTTCTTCGCATGTTGTTTGTCGAGTTGGACAAGGTATCGTCAAGTATCGTCAAGCATCATCGTCTGACTCAGCCACACCCAAGCGGGACCAAGCCGCGATGTCGTGTTGCGGAATCTTCTCCATGTAAAGTAGCACAAGGTACCGCGTAGGGCTGAGTAGACAACGGAAGTAGTGTAACAGAGCGCTGTAGATGCACGTCAGACACATCTTCGGGGTGTATGTACGTACATACTGCAGAGCGTAATAGGGGGGGGGGGCAATCGGGAAGATCGTGATTGCTTGCCATGGTCCCATCATCAATTAGTTGCCGGCGTATCGTAGGTCGGTAGAGTGACATCACAACCAGACCGGAGCCCCGTAGAGGATTACATACGGTTCCGTATCTGCGCATGTACCTACTATGGTAACATTGTGTGGCTTGCGAACAGAGAAGCTGTTTGCGAATGGCAAGATGATCCGAGCACGCCGTCGATACACGTACAGCCCAATCAGATGCCTCCATGCAAGCAACCACAAGTCCGCGTGGAGAACTTAGCCCCCAAGATACAAGCTGACTGACTCACTCATGTCTGTCTGCTTGGCGGATTAGGCAGGGGATGCTCACAAGGGATGCCACGATACTCGTCTGCCAGGTCAGAGCGGTGAGAACTTAATTAAGGAGACATGATAGTTGTTTTGAGGGTGGTGGTGTGTACGTCCTATTAGGTAGCAACGTCGATTCTAGTACTGTGGTGGGCTTACCACTAGAAGAGACGCCATGCCGAGTAGAAGGGTTGGATGGGTACAGTGGGAAGGATTTGATCAGGTACTTACCGGAACTCGGCAGGGAAAATAATCATAGAGATCCCGCCTTTGGAGTCGTTGGCAATAAGTGGTTAGTAGATAGGAAATTGGGAAATTGGAAAATGGGAAATGAAGGGGCACGCAGGGAGGGGGTTAGGAGAAGCTATTACATACATAGGTTAGTTAGCTTGAGGGAATTTAGATATGCTAAGCGGCGTCAGGTATACTATGTAATACCTTAAGTAGGTACCTAAGGTAGTAAGCCTTCCGGTGAGAACACGGGGCATTCAATACCAAGCCCGGGTATGCAGGACAGCAGCCATTGTCCACACGTTTGCGGGATGGTACATTTACCTCCCATTTCAAATCAAAATTTCAAAATTCCCTCCTGCGGAACATCGGAGCTTGATGCGACACCGCCGGTCCAGTCTAATAGGTATATATTCTGATAGGCTGGATCGCTGGATCTCGCGATTCGAACATGAAGATGGCGTATAGTGTGGTAAGGGGAATTACCTACACTACAACGATTGGTAGTTGCCTAACCTTGGCTTGCTTTCACCTCTTCAGCAAGGGTGCCAAGGGGTGTACAAAAAGGTGCGAGATAGAGAATAAGAATACGCGGCCCCCAAGGCAACCAATGTCGGCCAACAGATGGTCGACAACGTGCGCCAAGGGTGCTGTCGCTATTCTATCAAAGCTGTGAAGGGTCTGTCACTCATGCATTGCGAGGTTCCGGGTCCGCGATGGCGGGTCCAGCTAGAAATTTTTTTTTGTCTTTGAAGTAATAGTGACTGCGACTATGAGTGACAAGGGATCGGATGATCTTTCTCTCGACAGGCAACTGAACAGGAACAGACTTTGCGATTGGGAGTACAAAGTCAATCCAAGACACGAAAAGACTCACCGTCCCGTTTCCCCGACCACTCTCCACGACGATCTGTGAGAGCTCCACAAAAGCTTATTTAGACCGCGCACCAATTAGCACAGGTACAAGTTTCTTATATTGTATTGCAGAGGTGTCATTAGCAAGCTGAAGGAGGGGGGAGAGTGAAGACGTCCATAGGGAGGAGAGGACCTCGGGCCGCGTCTCACTTGCATATACAACATTGCTCGTATGTTAAGCAATTATGTCTGGTTAATGCTTATTCTATAGTTGTTTTCTCGGCCGTAATCTCGTTGCTGATACTGAAACTTGCTTTTAAATCTGACAAAAGCCATGATTTGAGAAATCAGAATCTGTTGGGCCGTCAACGGTAGTGGCTGGATCACGGGGAGCCAACTGACCGGTCTCTTCACTACGACTCGTACGGCTCATCCCGGCTGTTAAGCCAACGAGCCCCAATTCACCGGTGAATAATAATGCATCGGCTAGACGAGTGTGGTTGTAGTAAACGTTGTTGCGGTGGTAGATAGAGCCTGGAAGATATAACCTGCTTAAGCTTAGGGATTTACGTACTGTATAGAGGAAAGAGAGGGTGCGTAAATGAGTGCCAAGCCATTTATATATGTGCGCACGATTGAATATCGGAGGGGAAAGGGGAAAGGGGCAATGGCGCGCAGCAACAGTGAGAAAAGGCGTAAAGATAAAAATAAAATAAAGAGATAAAAATAAAATAAAAGTCTCTTCGGTCCCGAAATTAGTTGGACAAAGTAGATGTAGCAAATAGTAGGCAGCAACAGCCTATATTACATATAACAAGGAAACTACGAGGTCCAAAGTCTAGCGCGAATCTCGCTTCCTATTTAGGTAGGTACCTATGTGCCTTGGCAAGGTAAGCTGTCCCGTTTCTAAGTAGAGTTCCGTAATCTACCGTATCTAACCTTCCGTGCCTAAATGCCTAATAGTTTAGGTACTTGGTACCCGCCTAGAGGTCGGTATCGTTAGGATAAGCTACTGGAGCCCAAGGTTTTTGTTAGTGTAGCTCAAGCCCCAAGTTTGGTGCGTAGATTACGTCCTGGACTGGTACATACATACCTACTTGTAACGTCAAATGTGGGGTAATTTTCATCTGCTAAGTTCCACTGTTTAGATAGCACTGATACCAAGGATCTCTTTGATCGCATGCCGATATGTACTAGGACCCTAGTTTCTTAGCTCCATAGAATTCCATAGGCTCCGTATGTAGGGAGGATCCCCCTGTCCAGTTGCCTTACACCCGCCCGCTGCATCGCCTGAACCCTGGCTGAAAAAAGCTGCCTTGGCCTTACGTCTTTTGCCAGGCCCTACTACACTATGCTCCTATCATGGTATCGTGCCTTTAGTGCAACCTAGTTCCCGTTGTGGGGCATAATGAGGCTTTGCAAGTCCAATTTGAACGACCTCTCAACCTGATGACCTGCTGGCTCTCACAAAAAAAAAAAAAAAAAAAAAAAAAAAAAGCAAATCCCCATACACTACTACGCACACTTCCTTCTGCCAAGGACCTCTTCGCCGTTGCGCTCTCATGTAGGGGTACTCATTGGTGCAGTGCATTGCCCCGCTCCCCTTTCGCTATTAAGTTTGCATCTACTTACCTAAGCCGAACAAATTCTTTTTTCTCGAGTTTAGTCCAGGGTTCTCTTTAATTGGTTGGCACGTATTAGTGTGGAGTTATGCGTGGATAAGGCGTCTCTGCTCTGATCCATAGGCATGCACTGATCCGCTCTCCCGCGAGACAAAGGATCCATTCCCGTGGCCGAGAGAGGAGAAAAAATGAAAAGAATGCTATGTTTTATCTTTCGACCAAGAAGATACAGGGAAAGCAATTCTGAGCGCATAAGCACCACCAGCAGCGACAGAAGGCCTTTCTATTTTCACCTTGCGCCACAAACTGGGATCCTGTTCTTCGGTCCACCCTGAACCCAGTCGTCTCGCGAGACTTGCAAACACACATTCCGCCCAAGCATTCCTCCGATCACTTCGAGACAGGAGAAGGCGAGTTGCATCAAGTTAGTCTCACCAGGAGGACTCGACTAACGGGCCACAGCAATTGCCGAGTTGGGGAAGTTAAACGCAGACACCCGTATAATCCGTCTTTCCCAACGCCGCCCATGAAATTTTTTTTTTTTTTTTTTTTTTTTTTTGCGTAGTCTTCGTCAAATTTTCAAGTAGATGAATGAAAGTCGCTTATCCTTCGTTTCTCGAACCGTCTCGAAAACACCATAAAGCATCGCACCGGGGTATCCTGTCCGTTATCCCACCAGGTAAAGCCCATATTTTGTAGTATATCCCGACCACATTGCCGGGGTCGTAGTTCATTTTTCGTATATTCCCACATTCGCCTGAATTTCCCATAAAACCATATCCTCTCTCGGATTCTTTCCCTCTACCGTATCCCATCGTGCGCCGCCAGTCCCGCCTCTAGTGATGGACGCGGGAAAACCAAAATCCATAAAACAGATATGCTTTTCATCTCCGATGATCATGCTAGACGCAGTAGAACTTAACGCAGGTGTCAGGAATCTGCCAAGGAAATATACTGTGTAGACCAGCCAAGATGCGGCCGAGTACACTTCTCTATGCCACACAATCTTCGTATCACCCAGATTGAGGAAGCATGGTTGGCATGGTTGGGTAATAACCTGTCGATGTTGGCTTCCCTTCAAATCGACTGCAGCCCCGGTAGTAAGCATTTCCGGGGTTGTATAGAATACTCGGAAGGGGACCTTCGTATTCGTGTTTGACTTTCGACGAGCTCGAGTCGCCCGCCGGTGGGGCTGAAGTCATTAAGTTGTCCGGTTCGCCTCGATGGGAGAACATCTCAACACCCTGTCTCGAATCGGTATTTTCGTAGATAGGCGCAGGGTAGTATTGATACTCCCTCGTGTTGTCGATAGCCTTGGCTTCTTCGGTCGGAATAATCGTCTCCGCTGGTAGCTCGTGATGGCGAGTCCCTCCATAATGCCCCGATCTTGGATCATACGCTCCGCTGCTAGCGTACGAGCCTGGAAGAAGCGAAGGACCGCCCGAGCTGCCGTAATCTGGTCCTAACACCTGGGATCCGGAGTAACCGCCCATCCCACTTGATCCACCAGGCCCGCTACTAGTGCTCCCACGCCTTTCTGTTTGGTAATGTCCAGGGGAGCGCCCTCGTACAATCATCTTCGCGGATTTCCGCGAAGCGATCTTCATGAACTGGTCTTGGGCTTGATTTCCCACATCTGCATATAGCTCTACAACCAAATGGTAGTACTGCTGAGCCGCTCTTCGTTTACCATTGTTTGCCGTCGCCTGCTTGAATTGGATCCTTTCAAATGTGTGCTCGCTTGGGTAGGACCCCTGCGTGCTCTGCCCATAACCACTTTCGTACAAGGGTCTCGAACTTCCGGGCATGGCGTGATGGTCTTGATACAGTAATGGGTGCGGTGTTTGTTGTGGCTGCTTTGGTGTAAGCCTAACTTTCTCGGGCTTCTGTACCGGTCCTTTATCTCTCTTTGGTGTATGCTGCACCAAATCAATTGTGTGCGAGTCACTGTCGGAGACCACGGCAGAAATACACATCGCAAACCCAAATACTTGATACGATGTTGACGACCCGCTGGGAACATACTGCATGGTCGTGTTGGGGGAGTACGGCGACAAACCGTACGAGCAGATGCAGGAGAAGTAGTTCCTTCTGTAGCACGTCCAATCTCCCTCTGACATGAAGAACCCTTTGTCGATAGTTCCGTGAATATCAATCTTGATCGGCGCCCCAGAATCGCTGTACACTAGCTGGCCGTTCGTGCTCATTGCTAGAAGCGGAGGGATATGCGAACCCCCTGATTTTCCATACTGACTGGTGTCCATCCTGACAGGGCTTGTGAAGCTGGTACTGGGACTAGGAGTTGGAGATAGGGGATGGCGTCGCAAAGGCGCTGCAAAAGAAGGTGACCTCGTGTGCTCCGTTGGTCTTCCAAAAGATGGTCTCGATCCAGAGTAGAGATCTCTTACGTTGTACGCTGATGCTGGATTTGGTAACGCAGCGGAGCGGTTGGCATGTGCCATGCCCGTGGATGAAGTGCTACTGCTAAGGTAGTGAGTAAAGCAGCATCTGGATGAGTTACAAGCGGGCGTGTTATTGAACACTATGAAGGGGCTAGGATCAATGTGCGACTTACTTGGAGCTCAGGCGCGGTGGCCTAACGTCGATCCCGGGGAAGATCTGTGAGGCTGGAGAATAGAATGATCCAGTATCAGGGGAGTACCCCGTCGTAGTAGTGTTTAATAGAGGTGCAGAGAAACCGCCGAGCACAGAAGGCGGCTGAGGAGGGTTTTCTATCGTCAAGGAAGAAATATTGGAATCTTGGTTGTATCTAGAGAAAGCATTAGCAGGGGTCTTGGCAAATAGAAGTTGGTATGCGAGGCTCTGGGCAGGCTAGCGAAAATGCCTGTATCGCAATCCCATGCGAGACAATGCCCAAGTGTTCAGTGCGACCAAGAGATGTGGTACTGCCAACGTTGCGTAGCACAGGGGTAGCGGATACAGGATCGGGAGCTATATACCACGCCACATAGCGGCGAACAGCGGAAGAGTCACAGTCATTTTGTGTAGCTACAACAGCCACCCATGCAACTCGTCTCCGCGCCTATAGTAAGAGGGATTTACAGGAAGTAGCAGTTAGGTGCAGATTGTAAGGTAGGTAGTTAGGTAGGTCATATGGGTGTGCTAGTAGGGACCAGAGAGTAGCCCAGCCGGCACACCTCCATAAGTGCCCGAGTATTGCTGTTGAGATAAGGTACGAAGATGGAGATGACAAAGTGATATGATGCGATCTAAGACAGGCAAAGTGAAATAAGTTTGAAATAACATAAATGTAACAAAAGACGACAAAAGTGCAATGAACAAGAATATTCTCTCTCTCTCTCTCTCACTCATTTTTTTTTCTTTTCGTTTCTTAGCGGGAAAGGGAGACATAAAACTGACCTCATATCACCTGTAGCTGGTATGTCAAGATATTCCAGCCCAGGACACGAAGGCGGCGAAGACTCAAAGTCCTGCTAGAAGGGTAAAAATAGTCAGTGACAAAGGAGGGTAATGATGGTAAAGATAATTGGCATAAAAGTGACAGGTCTAATTAATAGAGGAGGCCCATTGGAGGTGAGCTGCAGTCATTACCGGGCTTTGGCATTGCCGGCAGGAAATTGAGGGCTCGAGGGTTTGTGAGTAGGCCCTGTAGAAATCGGCAACAAATGTTAGCACACGGAGATTGAAAGATTGTCCCTGTATTGGATGTGCTAATACAAAATCATAAAAAGCACGGCTGGCACCGGGGAAGACTGGCGAGTATTGACGAGTATGTAAGTACTTCTTGTATATGTATGATGGCTTGTCGGGTATGTGGGCAAGTGGACAAGTATTTAGGAGTTGTCCGTGTATGGTTATGTATGTATGGTTGGTTATGTAGGCAAGTAGATCAAATGGGGATGTATGATGTATGTAGATATGTAGATGGGTATGCCGGCCAAGATGTAGGCTAACAGGCTGGCAGCGGATATGGGAACACGAGAATGAGAGAAAGAAAGCGAGACTAGTAGGAGGTAAGTAGAGTAACTGCTTCAGTGAATGTGCAAGAATAGCACGGTGTTTGCTCCGGCTGCTTCCAGTTCAGTGACATATACCTTGTCATTCCGTGCGTGGCACTGTGACACCGTGGGCATGGTGTAAGATACGTAGCCCAGTGAGCTGACTGCCCCGGTAGCTAAGGTAGGAGATACCTTGAGATTGATGTACCCTAAGGGCAAGCGCCCTCGCAAGGATGATGGCAGTCGAGGTTCCAGAAGCAGCCTTCAGGTACAATACAAAAGTATACCTGGAAGGTAGGGTAGGTAAAAGTAGAGAATTCCCTCGAGATGTACCACGCTAAAAGACCCGGGGGGCGTTTTTTTGTGCGACATAAAAGAAACCGGGGATTGCTGATTCATATTTTTTCATCTAATGCGACAGGCCTTTTCTTGCCTACGATACCTCGCAAAGCTTTTCGAGACCACCGGTCTGGCAAACCGCCGGAAGACGGCTTAAAAGCCTACAAGGCGCACGACCTCCCCGGTTTCCGATTTGCATTATCATCTCTTTTTTTGTTTTTGTTTTGTTTTTGTTTTGTTTTTGTTTTTGATTTGATTTGATCTTTTCCGATCCTGATTTGGCATATCGTGGTGGGAAACTAGAAGATGTGGCGGGAAAATGAGATGGGAATTGCCATATGCGGCTACAAATAACATGTAATGTAGGTAGGTTAGGTACCTAGGTAGGTATGTAGGTATGTATATACGAATTGGACGAGGTGAATGTGTTTGTGTATATGCGCGTGTATATGTTTGTGTGCGCGAGCGCGTATGGTGGGTTCGTGCTTAGTGCGCATGCATACGAACATGGCAATATGTATACTTGGAGTTGAGATGATTGAACTGACCTGTGTTGGTTGGCCCTTTGTTGGCCCTGCTTGCTACTTTGATCTCAAAGCTTAAGCAAGCATACCCGGAGCTGCCTTGGACTTTCGTCTCCGATATCCTCAGCATCGACAGTGCATGACCCATTTAATCCAATTGGCTTTCCTTAATTAAAAGCGCCCTCCTACAGACCGGGCTCGGCGAATGCGGACTTTCTCGAACTATTTGTTGTTTTTGTTCTTCGGCGGAAGCTGATGTAAAAGGAGATGGGAATGGTCGGAGAATAAAAAATAAAATAAAAGACAAGAAGGTGCATAAGTGAATTAAGTGGAAATTTTAACGAGTTAATAAATTAATATGTATATAATAACAAATATGATAAATACCTTGGGGTTAAGTTGTTGATTCATTCGAGGAGCCTCTCTGTTAGAAGAGAGGCGTGCTTCATTCGGCCGAAAAGTGGCTGATGATGCTAATAGAATTGACGACGGAGGATTCGAAGACGGATCGTGGATTAGCTGTTCCAATAACGGTTGTTAGTTCCGTATTCTCTGCAGGGTTCCCAAAAAAAGAAATCCAAGACGACACGACACCGGCTTCACTTGAGAGACCAGGTAGGTACTTTTATCCACTAATAAGGCTTGTCCCATCACAACGTGCCGACACTCTAACAGTGTAAGTACCTGCAAAACGGGTACTTTAGCTAAGTAAATACACATAGGTATAGGTAAAAGAGATATAACTAGATAAAAGTAATATAGTCATTTCGAGCAGATGGGGAGATGGTGGTGGCCACATGTTTGTGTTTTCTTCTTCTCTTCTTTTTCCCTTTTTCGTTCATTTTATTTTTAGGTTTTCTTTTTTTTTTCCCTCTGCATTGTTAGTATACTCATCGACTAACCACTTTCCGACCTCGATCGGTAGCAGATGCCATGGCAGATGGTAGCAGTGAAGTATGTAATTGATGTAGGTATGTCAATCTTTAGAAGTAGGACAGGGATATAAAAATGGGCTTGCTGCGTTGCAGAGATGAGAAGTCCAGGGGGGGCCAGGATGTACACCGACCTTTGAATAGTCCACTGTAACCATGAGTGCCAAGTAATTGACGCTTCCGCGAATACATGCACGGTCATGCAGCGAATTGTAAACCTAGACGATACAAAATTCTGTCAGCTTCTAACCCTCAAGAAAAGAAAAGCATGAGAACAACCGGGCTAGGGAAGGATAGGAAAGGGGAGCAAAACGGATTGATAGTGCGGGTTAGCCAAGACATAACAGTTCCTGGCATCTTCTCGCAGAGCCAATAGTGTAAGATGGGAACCGAACCGCGCCGCTTGAGTTAGGTTTATTTATGCCGAATCAATGTCGGATCGAGTACCTTGACACCTGGGTAGATAGATCTGACTAAATCAGCCTGAAAGTTAGGTATCTTTGATGTCGACTAGAGCGTCATCGTTCAGTTTCTGACCGTATCTATCTATATCCTGCGTCGCTGTGTATATGTCCTAGCTCCGTGATCTACCTAGCCCAATAGCCCAGTAGCCCAGTAGCCCAGTGCGGTTTTTCATCGAGATTTCGCGCGTGGCGTCTGCACAATATCCCGAGTAGAAAAGAACTAAGTACCTACTCTTCCTATCGGAAAGGGGCCCTAATATGCGAATATCTTTATGCCTTAAGCAAATCGAAGGGAGGCCCTGAGAATATGTGTCAGTACTGCTTTTCTGCTGCAGAATTCCAACGCGATCTGTGATTGATTAACATGGTGGAGGCTAAATGCACACCAACTTGCCTACCGCCAACTTGGGTCGATGGCGCCATGCGTATCAATTTGGAACAGGGCATGGGATGGCACTCAAATGAAACCATACGGGCGCCATTCGATGATCCCAAAGGGGCGCCTCGTGATAATCAGCCTCCAAAAACGTTCAGTAACCTGGCGTACCTTTTTCTCTTATCCGCACCAAGCCTCGCGCTATCAAAGAATCAGCTCCCGTACCGCCGCCTGCCGGGTATAGGGTCCGCGTAGCCGGTTCGTGGATCCAGCAAATATGATAGGCTCTGACCTAAGTTGTTCCTCGAATCAGTGTAAGGGAGGTTGTTTAATATATGTGAGTATTCTGAGCAGGTGACAAGTGCAGGTTGACAACACGAGAGCTGCGAAGTCCGAGACGGAAGGGAATCTATATACCCTCACAGGGAATTTATTTAAAGCTTAACGTGGTGGCTTCGACTCGTACGGTGGCATATGCCGCGCAGATCTATGGAGGCTTGTAAGAAGAGACAAAAGGGCAGTGCCACGAAATGGTGCATATGGATGAAGCCAACTTCTTCAGACTCGCAGCAGCAAATCCATATATCGGCCACACTGCGGTCCTCGAGGCTTCAATGACAGGATAATAAAATCTTTGATAGGACTGGTAGATAGGCGAAGTGGGTATTGTCTATTCCCTCTTGGGACTGGGTGAGGTGATAATGGTAGCAGTGGTAGTGCAAGCTGGGGGACTTTTGAGACAGCAAATATTAGGGTCATCCGTATATTTTGCGGAGAACTCGAGGCTTGTTCAGTCTTTTCTATTGTTAGGGGCCGGTGTGCCGTTCCTTTGAATTTCAAATGAACCGGCGAGCTGCGCAGTGATGTATGAGCTGGACAAGGTATCTGGGTGTAGCCCTATGTGTCTGGTCAAAGAATCCCATAGATGAGAACCTACGGGGTGGGCAGCACAGCCTGTGTGCCTGGCATCAGTGTTGGCAAAGATGCGGAGTGCGTCAAGCGAGGTCAAGTGAAGATTTTACCGAATTAGACACAAAGCATCTGGGGCAACTCAGCTCCATCTTTTACTCATGACAATCAAGGCAAGAAGCCGTTTGTTGCAGGGCTTATGCTTCAAATTGTTTTAGTCTCCCCAGCCTCAAGGCCAAACAAGTCCTGGGGTATGGCCACGGACCCCTAATCTGCTCGGTGCTATAATTGATATTCCTAAGATTAGGAAAGTCAGGCTTCTCCCAAAGGGGGGCTTTAGTGCAACTTAGAATTCCATTTGGATATTCAGCTTTACAGTCCCCGCTAGGGATATATAATTTTCTATGATATCCTATAAGGTACCTAAATGTAGTCCTTCTGAGGCCATAGGGGACGATGTGAAGTAGTTAGAGATATCAAGAGCACCGAGACCTTGGGAGCTGATGGGTGAGGAACTCCGTTCCCCTATGCATCATTTCTGCACGTACCCTACCGTCAGTGCCTCTACGAGACGCCACAAACATCTCCTGGTAATTGGGAAGGGATCTGCTTGGTCGAGTTGTGCCCAGTCCTCGGGAGACT